GGTGTGTCGCAGGTGTGTTCCAGTGAATTTGAACACAATGGACGCGTATTGACTACCCTCCTTTGGTGGCTTCATTATACGCGAAGCGTTGACAGTTATAAAAGGAACTATTTATAAGAAAACACTAGAGGTAGCTGCTCAACGTATTTATAGCTTGTTAAATCGGAAACGTGAACCATTGTGCAAACGCCAGACAGGTAGTGTATTAGTGCTAAGGGATGTGTATGGATCTACATATTCATTGGGATAAGACGAGGAGGATGCTGAATTGCGGCGTCTAAATCATAATCCATTGGAAACTGGTGTCAAGAAAGTAGTGGCTCATTCATGTCAAGATACTTAAAAATGGCGTCAAGTAGATTGACTCTGTCCTTTCGACGCAATTCTGAACAGTTGAACTTTGCGTATGCATCAGGGGCGTAGCTACCGCCGTACCAGCACATCAAAGATACGAGGCCCCAAGTTACAGGGGCCCCTACGTACGAAAAAAATGGGTTATTCACAATGTAATGCATGTTTTTTTTATACTCCAACTACCACGAAGGCCTAAGCACCCATGGGGTACCGTATGGCTTGGGGGGGATACAGGGGAAAGGGGGAACGCCACACGGACTCTGGCGAGGGAACACGCGTGCATGCAATATGCACAAATTCTGGCCCCGCCTACGAGATCCGCGAGGTGGTACCTCCGCGTTCGACAGTCAGAGACTGTCTACCACCTACAGACAATCACAACATCCATAGCCTAGAGAAAAATTTCTCCTGGGACGGGATTCGAACCCGCACAGCGCACGGCGACTGATCAGGAGACCGAAGAGTCTACCACTGCGGCCACCGCTGCTGCCTACCCTGTTTTTAGGCCGTACGCTAAATGGAAGATTATCAAGCGCTAAACCTTAGATTTAACGGCTAGGTAATAGTAGCATGCTTCCTATTTTTAATCTTCTAGATTACAGCTGCAACAGCTGAAAGAAGCTTTTCGAAAATAGGTATTAACATAGCTTAGGGATTCTATGAGACAACTTTTACTATCAGGCCTGCTACTAACTTCAGTGGTTAAATATTTCGAAACACTAAAATCGCCTTCCGCTATGGATGATTTAATGAAAGATTTTTCTGACAAAAATAGTAGCAAGTAGATTGACTTGACAAGTATCCATCTAATCCTATTTTCAAATATCCATAAACCTTGATAAAGAAACAAAATTTTTGATCTCCATAATAATTTTGAATATGCCTGAAGCAACCAGAAATGATTTGAGAATAGGTACACTTTTACAAAAGGTTATCTCTTACCGATGATCCCCCCTTCTGACTGAGAACAATTTCTGTGGTCAATACGCGACGATTCATGTTATTCAATGCTGGCGTCTTTGTTTCTTCTACTTCAAAGTTTACCCTCCATTTGGGATTCGCACTACAAATTTTGATATGGGGACCCCGAGGAGCAGGCTTCGCTACTGGTGTGCATCATGCTATAAGTTGACCTTCTCTATTTTTTTTTTGTATGAGCACTTAGAAAAAAATGTAGGATTTCCTTAACAAAATCTCCCTATTTCGTGGTTCATGTTAATTCGGCGAGTAGCTAGTCGATGAATTGGCCACTTAGATAATGTGATATTACACTTTTAGACTTTTTTTTGATAACATATCACAATGAGCACTTGTAAATCAGTATTACTCCAGTAATTACGCTATTATGCGTCATGGAACATTGGAATCCCAGAATGGGCAACGCTACTGCAGTGACGACCAATATTTTAAACAGTGATTTTTATAAAAAGAATACCATTGTCTTGTAGATTGTTTCACAATCTCGGCACCCTAGGGACAAAGGAACGGTCATATCGGCCAGTTCTGGATGTACGAAGTCGACACGGTTAGGATGGGATGCTGAGGTCAGGCGGGTCTGTCTGGCAGGCAGATCGCGCGGCTGCATCATGGAAGAGCGCTCTAAGGAGCAAAGTCCGTTGGTGTAGTGATAGAAGAGAGCTAGATCGCCGATCCTTTGGACAGCATCCAGCATGATAATGTAGTCGGCGCGGCGGCGCCCAAAACGTGTGAGCAGTACTCGAGGCTAGTTTTTATGTGGGTATTGTATAGAGTGAGGAGATCAGGTAGAGAAAAGTACTTCGTAGCAATGAACAAATAGCCTAGCTTTGTCCCCGCAGCTGCCGATACTGCCGAGATATGTTCGTGCCATATCAAGTCCTCGGTGATCTGGACTCCGACCAGCCGAAATGGAAATAAATCGAGATTAATCAGAGTTATTCTACACCTGTATATTTGAAATTCACAAATTCCGGAAAAAGAATCGATCATTTCTCGATCCCCAACTGCAAACCTCTAAAGGGTAAGTTTTTGCCAGAAGATCCGCCGTTTCGTTGCTCTTCTGACCTATATACTTGTATGTATACTGAATGAACTTTATTTCAATATGATATTATGAAAAGCTTTTGCGGTCCCACGACAAAATCATGTAAGCAACTTTCTTCTCATTAAGCTCTATTTTTGTTTTTCTGTGGGTACACAAATGAGTCCATCTTAGAAAGGAGCTGTTAAGAGAGACCTCGTTGTAATGGTTTTGTGAGTCCTCTCGAAAAAATATGTCAAGTATGTCATTAGTGTCTACACCAGAATAATACTAAAATGCTCAAAGGCTAGTGAAATGACTAGGTAGGGTTACACGCATTTAAAAAATGTACAAAAATATACCTAACCGGTTTTTCCTGCACAAAAGTAATAGAAGAAAACTTGGCAGAATTCACGCAAAAGTTTCTATAGAATAATGTCCTAGAAGTCACATAAGCCCACACTAATATTTTAATAAACCATACAATAATATGACATTTTCAGAGAATTCTCCTCCTGTATGTACCTACTTGAATTTTGAGTCTCAATTTTCTGACACAGAATTGAGGTTTCTGAGCCTGATGTCCATGGATATTCCATATTTTGTTGTATATGATTGACTATACAGGATGATTAAAAAACAATACCAATGCCTATAAAGCAGGAAATATGTAGGTTGGAAAATAATACAAAAAGTTCATATAAATATGGACCCTATAATGCCCCTTTTCAGGATACGTCTTGGAAGTGGAAAAAGTATCGGCTTGAAATTGTACATGCAGTGCAAACAAGTCGAGCAAAACAAACAAACATGTTTGCTCATCTAATTAATTATTAGCTGATATTGCGATACGTTGGGCCTTACAGAAAATATTTTCTACGTCACTGGTATTTCTGAAACATCTAGAATTTTAGATAAAGCACATAATACACAAATAAAAATTATCTTTATTGAAAATTTTTTGTAAGAGCATTCGTTTTGGAGCAAAGATGGCTTGAAGATTTGAGATATAATACCTATAAAGAGCTAAAATTCGTTCTCCTTTAAAAATATAATGAAGTTAGTGATTTCATTATAATAGTTTTTCATGCAATATAAACAACGAATTAAACTCTCTGTTACGTTATTTTTTACAACAATTCCAGATAAGAACAACTGAAAAAAAGTGTTTTTAGGACTACCAAAATGAACCGTGATCATTTGACAGTACTGACAATCGTGACAGGTATGCTTATTTGTATAACTCCAAAAATTCAGGACCACGTACTTTTAGACTAAAAATACGTCTATGCAAAAGTGCTTTTTTGTCCGTTAGAGAGCGTCAAAGTTTTATTTTTAAACCATTTTTTTAAGACATTTTAAGAACCAATAGTTCGATTAGAATGAAATTTGGAATGTACATGTGTTTTACTAGACGTACTATATGTAATATTTGACGTTTACAAAAATACCCGAAAGGACTGGAGAATGGTGAAAACTACCCCTACCCCTACGTAAATTATAGCAGAACAAAAATTCGGAGCTAGTTGTCAGAAATTTTTGACAACAGGATGGCCTGCTTTTATAAAATACAAAAAATTAAATAAATAAATGGACCTTTAAAGTAAAAAAAATTAGAGTCGTTGGAAGAGTTGCGAAAAAAATCTGCTATAATTTATGTAGGGGTGGGTATAGTTTCACCCTTCTCGAATCCTTTCGGTCTTTTGTGAAAGTCAAATATTAGGATGTCCAGCAAAACACATGTGTTCCAAATTTGATTCAAATCGGACTATCGGTTCCAAAAAATGTGTTTTAAAAAGGAAGTTTTAACGCATCTAACAGACAAACGAAGCACTTATTTTTAATCTAAATATACGTAGTACTTCTACGGAATATTGGGACACCCTGTATAACAAAAATCATGATAATTTGATTCCTTTCACTGCCTATTCCTTGCATCTATTTTTATCTGTGATCTAAATTTCATATTTCCCGTCTTAGCTTATCTGATTTTATAACTTGTAACTATTTGTACACTGTTTTGATAAGAATTTTCCAGCTATGTATATGAATTCCGGCAACGGCTCTGAATAAAGACAGAATTACCCTGTGAAATATAAACTGTCCATCCTCCATAACTTTTTTGGTATTTCCATAACGAAGAACGAAGAATCATTTCGGCGAAAATAAGAGCACGAAAATCTGTCTCATGTCTCCACAGCGTAATTTGAAAAATGTTCAAGTTTGTTCTTAATGAGTTTCATAAGTATAGTAATTTTCAAGACATTGTATCTTGGTAATTGGGTATCTTAAGACATACGAGGTCTTTAAATTAAGTGATGAGACTGATTTTTGTTTATTTTTTTTCTGTTCTAATATAATTACAATTTTACACTCTCGAAATAGCTTCCTTCCAGCGCTGGAGACCGTTCTTCCACTTCGACTGTTCCAAAATGAGTTAGTTCCCTTGAGGTGAACTTCGGGAAGAGAAAAAAATCACAAGGACTCAAGTCAGGCGGATGAGTGGTCTGAAGAGCTTCAAGAATGTTTTTACTGGCTCGGCGCCTTCAGTGTTGTCAGTTCGAACGCTACTTAATTTACAGACCTCGTATGTTATTTTTGGATGTACTTTCTGAACGATCGTAGTTAAGCGAGAAGAAGTTCTTACCTTCACATGTGAATCCCTGTTGTATGAGTCCCCAGAGCATGTCGGTGCAATGGTGGCAGTAGGTGGGCTTGTGGAAGGTCTTCTTGCAGAATGTGTGTCCGTGGTGTTGATGCGGCTGATTGGTTACTGAGATTGCGGTGGTGTTAGTTTGGGCTATGGCGGCGGCCGTGGCGGGCGGCGAAGCGATTTGGTCGGAGGCGGGGTTCGGCTGCGGTGGCCCGCCCCCCGGCCCTAGGGCTCCGCCCCCTACGGCCTGAGCCTGGGCCGAGGCTGCGGCAGCCGCCATCGATTCAACCACGTACGTACAGATCAGCTGTGCACAGCAGGACCGCCTCCTGGTGCATTATTATGCCGCAGCCCGAGCTGCAGCTGCTACGTCACCTCGGAGCCAGAGGCGGCACCCCAGTACATCTTCTTTACCACCAACACCTAACACAACAGACAACAGCTATAGCCAAACTACAAATTTAAAGGCAGTATAGTTAACGTCGTGCATCCCTTTTTTGTCAACAGCCTATTTGGAGGGGTATTCTTAATATTTTTCAACTGATGATTTCAGTGTTGGATCTACGGTGGTGTCCTGGGGGTCAGGACCCCTCGAAATATCCGAGCTAAAAAAATTTGTAACGTGTTTTTCAATTCAATTTTCAATCACCAATTGATAACGTTGCGTTTTAGTCATCTCTATAGACACCAGGAAATAATCAGATGAAAAGAGAGTTAAAAAAGGGGATGTGTGAGCTTAAGTCTAAAAATGAAAAAGAGTACGCCACTGTTAGCTCCGGGTATCTAATAGAGCTGGGCCAAATCGTTCCATTTGATGATTCGATTCCATGGTTTTAATTCGGCACGGGTATCATGTAAAAACCTATAAAGCGTCAAAAAAACCTATGAGATGTCAACTTGCAGACTAGGTAGTTTTTAGGGCGCAAACAGTCATTCCACGTTTGCTCACTAGGATCGTTGTGAACGTCCATCTGTGGAGAAATCACTCAACAAAACTACGCATTATTGGTTGCATAGCTTAGTGAGGCTGAGTGATCTATTGGCTGTGCCCGATGGGTTATGTTTATGTTGTGTTTTCTGAAGAGGGGTTATGTTCAAAGTAATAAATTACGAAAAACTGAGGAGAATTGCGGGAAATCATCACCGCGCCCGCGTTGTGTGTAATTACTGTTAGCATGTATATGGCTTGTAATTCGACAATGTACAGTGAATATAATTATTTCTTATCTCTCTCACTTTTGAAATTCAGCAAATTTGTATAGGTAATTTCCAGAATGGATAAGAAAAAGTGGCTGTGAAACTAATTTCTAGCTTTGAATCTCAATTAAGTGTATTTGAGATAAGAGCCCAATGTAATTATCATCAACACATACAACTTACAGCTTAGATCTCCAGTAATGTAATCTCAGAAGCAGATTTTACTCAAAGCCAAAGATTGATAACAAGCCTCATGACGTTTAGGCAACACGTACAACTAAGTGCATCTTGTAGAGTAACCTACATAATGACAAAAAAAAACAGCATAATGTCAAAAAAAATCGACATAATGTCACTTTTCAAGATACGTGATACCCGTGCCGGTCTCGGAACCGATTCTTTCACCGACTCCGATTCCTTTCAATTCCAATTTATTTTGCCTTTAGTTCCTTTCGATTCCAACTCCGGTTTCTTTCGATTCCGATTCAGATATATTCATTATCAACATCTCTATAAAATTATGAAAAGCATATGCATTGTTGAAAGATCTATTCCGACAATATTTTGTGTTTTGCAACATCGACTGAAAAAGCTATAACCATGACAACACAGCTGTTCAAAAATATTTTCGTATACATTAGGCTTTCTATCTTATCTAAAAAACGTTGGAATAAAGATCTTCCTTAAAAATATAAGGCACTAGAACAATGGTCAATGGTCCCAACTCAATTACTCCATGCCAAATTATCTTTTAGATCAGTAGCGGATTCATGGGGTCCGAAAATATCAGAGTTAAACAAACTGCATGTTTCTCAGTTCTTAAAACAATTCTTAATCCGCCCCAGTTTTCCTGTTTCAGGTCGTTCCTCTTTTGGAGCCGCTGCAAAAAACAAAATTTCGTAAAACTATTCAATGTTTTCCAACGGTGAAGTAGGGCTTTGGATTTCATTCATTCTGCCCTGGGGCCCCTTCAGCCACAGGCCTCGAGCTTTCTGTGTGTCCAGGTACCCAATGACTCCTCATAGCTCAAAACGACCCTGATCGCGTCTACAGTGGCGTAACATTACTCCTATCATTTCAATTTGGATCTCATATTCTACCGAGTTAAGGACTATCCCGGTGAAGAAAAGTGCATCTTGTTAAAATCTGAATGTTTGGCCACGATCGCCGTAAAAAAAGAGCATGTAGAAAGACTTTTTCCGTGCAGATCACAGTAATGAAAGCCTTGCCACTGTATTTATAATCTGGTAGTTGAGGAATAACGCGGTATGCTGAGTGATGTCGCGATATGCCGATGCCGATTTCAAGAAAAATCGTTCGTCAGGTATCTAATAGTATGGCTGTGGAATCTTGTGAGCACAGTCGTCGGCGTGCTGCGGCATCAACTAATTACTAGCTGAGCTTCAACAAAACGCCTAAGACTCTCTCGTGTGACTGCACAGACTGCTTTTTGATATACGTGAAAAGATTTTGTATTTCGGCATTGCAGAGCATTACGTTTGATACCGCAGCGCGAGGTGCCGACATACCGCAACATTTTCCGGCATGCTGCGGCATATCTCGATCTTATCAGACCGACAGTGTATACAAGCTAACAGGTTGTTCACAGCTGTTCGTCATATTACTGGGGATTTCTCAGCAGTGTGTGCTGCAGCTAGAAAAATCCTTCTTGATGCTCTTCCCTACCCTCTTCCGGTATGCGGTAGCCTCTAATATCCAATGGCATGCTGTGGAATCGTGCGCTGACAGAAATTCAACGAAACGCCTTAGACTCTCTGGTGCGACTGCACAGCCTGGTTTTTTATATACGTGAAAATATTTTGTATTTCGGCATTGGAGAGCATTACGTTGGATACCGCGGCGGGAGGTGCCGGCATACCGCGACATTTTCCGGCATGTTCGGCATATCTCGACCTTATCAGATCGACAGTGTATACATGCTAACGGGTTGTTCACAGCTGTTCGTGATATCACTGGGGATTTCTGAGCAGGGTGTGCTGCAGGGAGGAAAATCCTTCGTGATGCTCTTCCCTGCCCTCCCCCGGTATGCGGTAACCTCTAATATCCAATGGCATGCTGTGGAATCTTGCGCATGACAGTCATCGGCGTGCTGCGGCATCAACTAGTTACTAGCAGAGATTCAACGAAACGCCTAAGACCCTCTCACGTGACTGCACAGCCTGCCCTTTGATGTACATACATGGAAAGATTTTGTATTTCGGCATTGGAGAGCATTACGTTGGATACCGCGACGGGAGGTGCCGGCATACCGCGACATTTCTCGGCATGCCGCGGCATATCTCGACCTTATCAGACCAACAGTGTATACGTGCTAACGGGATGTCCACATCTGTTCGTGATAAAACTGTGGATTTCTCGTAAGGGTGTGCTGCAGGGAGGAAAATTCTTCTTGAAACTCTTCCCTGCCCTCGCGCGGTATACAACTTTCCAGATATGGATAAGACGAACATTTTTTATAGCTTCCTTGCTCATAATTTGGCATGTAGTCCGAAAGTTAAAACGTCTGCTGATTGACACTGTCTTGAGCGTTATAATTCTTTAATAATACTGACTCGCAGCCTGGACTATAGAATGAGAGAAATTTCAGAAAAGCTTATAAAACCTCGTCCCTATTAGTTCCAAGAATAATGTGAAACTGTCCTGCTTAGATTGGAGCTGACTTCTTATAAAAACAATGTACGTTTCCAGCCAATCTTTTTTACTTTCGAATAAATTAAATCAAAAATCGAACAACCGTGAAGATGGCTACAGGATCTGATAATATTTCGCTAGATACGTGCTGACAAAGCTAGTGGATCTCATGGAACCTTCATCCCGAGATGACTTCAAACATAAACTGTTATAAGTGTATCACTATTTTCTATCGAATTTTAATCCTAATGTGGAAGACTACCTAAATACTCTGTTTTGAATGGGCTGCTGGTGCTAGTAAAGTCGAGTTGTGCATGAAAGCTACTCACCTAGCAAAACAGTCATAATATATTGTGTTTGCTATTAGCTGTAAGGACTAGGTCATATACATTTTTGAACAATGCCATGCATGACTATCACTTAGATAGAAGTACCTAAATTTCAGCAATATTTCGCGAATATACTACCCAAAACACCACGAAACATGGATCCTAAATGTTCTGGTGATAATATTCGCATTTTTATTGTTCCTATTACATATTTCAATGGTCCACAAGCTAACTTACTACTTAAAGAGATTAGAATGTTTTCTGACACTAAGATCTTTTTCTGTTCATCGAAACATTGCAAAAAAATAGCTAGCTGTATCTGTGTTAATAATAGAGACGAAGTGTGATCATAATACATCTCAAAGCTTCTTTAGAGCTGTTTTTTTATTTTATATTATTTATGACGATCTGATGCCATAAATCGAAGAACCTTACTATATAACACTGCAGATTTTCAGAATCTTTCGACAAATACGTGCTGACAAAGACAAATCAGACGTGAAACCTCCGTTGTGAGATGGCAACTGTATGACAACCAAATACACAATTTCTAATGGGTGTTTTTGAATTACCCCCACTGTAATGTTCATTGTACGATATTTTATTGCTACTAATAGCGCTAATACAAGGTGTACTAGAGCTTTTTGGATGCGAGGTTTATACAGGGTGGAGCATCGAAAACGAAACAGACGCATTTACTGGCAGCTCAGTTTTTTTTGGAAAAACGCTCAGACCCGTCGATTTTGTTTTCGAGGGGGACACAAGTTTGGCAAAAAATCACGTTAACACGTGCAGCCCCCTGGGCGGGGGTGACACCAACTCTAAAATCTTAAATGGAAAGGAGGGTCGAGCATCGAAAATATGTTTTAGAACTTGTAGCTAAATTTCGGGAAACTGAATCAGTCGCCAATAAAAAACGCAACTTTGAAAATTCCATAAGGAACGAAGCAATAGAAGTGGGGATTTTAGGGTAAGTTTATGTAGATCCTACGTTAAGTACCCGCAAATTGGAGACTGTGTGTGGTGTTAGTCGACGTACTGTCCAACGGATTCTAAAGGCCCATAATTTTCATCCGTATAAAATTCGCCTGGTACAAGAACTGAATGAAGACGATTTTGATCGGAGATTACAATTTTGTGAAGATATGAGTGAACGAATTATAAACGATGAAAATTTTCTATTCAACACTTGCTTTTCCGACGATTGTTCCTTTTTCTTAAATCGCGTAGTAAATCGTCATAACTGAAGGTATTGGTCCGATTCTAATCCCAGAATTTATCATGAGGTTCATACACAGCAGCCACAAAAATTAAATGTTTGGGCTGGCATTTTTGGCGATCATTTAGTTGGTCCTTTTTTCTTACCTGCAATTTTGACCGGTGAAATGTATTTGGAATTACTGGAAGACGCCATGGATCCTGCATTAACAGCCATAATTGAAAATCTGAATGATCGGCGGTACAACGCGAATAGGTTGATGTTCCAACAGGATGGTGCCCCACCACATTACGCATTACGTGTTCGACAACATTTAAATCAGACGTTTCCAGATCGATGGATTTGTAGAAGAGGTGCCATTGAATGGCCCCCAAGATCGCCAGATTTATCACCTTTGGATTTCTTTATTTGGGGTCATTTAAAAAGCAAAATCTATGCTACTCAGCCAACATCATTAGAAGACCTGCGACAAAGAATTGTGAATGAGTGCCTTCAAATTGCTCCTTAAATATTGCAAAATGTGCGTCAACGTTTTGACCAAAATCTTTATTATTGCATGGAGAGTCATGGTGGCCATTTTCAATATTTACTTGCCTAACGGGTCAGTTCATTCTTCATTTTTAAATTACTTTGCTGCCAAATGTATTGATCTCCACTAATGATGATTTATTAGTTAGTTAGTAAATGAGTCTGTTTCGTTTTCGATGCGCCACCCTGTATAATACGATGTGATGTTGAACCTCGTGAAGCTAAGCAGTTTTAGTGGATAAGTATAATAAGTACGTTTGCTAAAGTTGCTTAATATACTCTGTGAAATATGATGAAACATAGAGCTTTAGCAGCTGAAATAACAATATGCTCAGTCTGCGGACATGCTCCAATCTTCCTCTATTACATATATTATTCTTGGCCTTGTAAGATTAATTACTACTGCTTATTGATATCGTCTCAAATGTTTTCTATGAAGACTTTCTCTAAAGAACGAGAGAAGTTCCAGAAAAACTGATACAACCTTGTACCATCCATTCTAGGAAGAGCTTGAGACTTCAACTGTATCTTAAATGACGACTTGCAGTTTGAAATAAGATCTAAAGCTTTGTCTGAGTCAGCTTTTTCATACGCACTATGTTATTTTCGACAAAATGATGATTATTCTTGATACTGATACTGTAAATTTTGAAGAATAGAGGGATACGAAACGTTCGCCGTGAGATAAAGCATAAAATCGCTTTTCAAAGTATTTTTTCTAATGTGGTTGATTTTGGGTTACACTCCTTTTGGTATCTTACTTATAATATGCAAGTGTAATGTACCTAGTGGAAGTCTTTGTTAATACGATTTTGGACACACGATATATAATATTGGGCCATGTCATGCTAAGTATGTACATGTACGTTTTCACCTGGATCAAAATGATAAGCATTTTTCCAATATTTCATAAATATACCCTGTACAACATGACGAAACATAATTTCTTAGCTGCTGAGACGTCAATGTGCTCAAACTGCAGACATGTTTCAAGTTTCAATCCTCCTCTATCACATATTCTTTTGGTCCTTCAGTTTACTTATTGCGAATATATTGAAACTAGCTTGCGGTAACTGTGTCATGAATGGAGACGAAGTAGATTAGAGACGCTTTCTGAGAAGCATAATATAAATCAAACATTTTCAAGCCCGCTATGTTTTTTTTTTGGAAATATGAATTCGATAATCGAAAAATTTTGCTGGAAGAAACGGCAGATTCTGAGAATCTTTGAGCAGATACATGGTGACAAAGATAGGGGGACATGGAACCTTCGCCGTGAGATGACCTTATATGCGCAAACTGTGTCACGATCGTAAAAGCACCTAATAACGAGTTTCAAGCTGTATGGCTTATTTTGTGTTACCTCCACTGTCCTGAGTGTCTGCTGGTGCTAGTAAAGTCGAGTTGTCCGTGAAGTTTAGCCGCCCATCAAAGCGCATATTCGGGTGGGTAAGTTTAGATCTCGCGTCGCGACGCTTCGAAAGCGGTCTTCGGAGCTGGATAGCGCCCGCACGAGGTCCAGTCTGGTTTGGAGATGCCGGTGCCAGCATGCAAGTGGACCATCGCTGGAGACGGTTGTCAAGTGGATTGAGTGGAAGTGCCCGAACCGTTCTGCGGAGCGGCGAAGACCGGACCAACCGCTGATGGCTGCCACCCTGTCGCGACCGATCTGCTGGATGTTCCCGGAGATGTGGAGCAACGCGCAGCTGGATGCGCGAACAGGAACGCGCAGACGCCGCATAGGGCGTCGCGACGACAGTCCCGCGGTGCTGCCAGATTTACTAAAGACCCCGCACAAACCCCCCATTAAACAATTACCGAATTTAAATCGAGTAGAGTTTAATACTCAAATGAAAAGCTCTACCATTTTTTCATACCGGAGTAGCCGCGTAGTTGTGTAACAGCATCCCTACTCCTCCGCGGTATTCGATACCTCAGGAAGGAATTTTCTCTCGGCATCGGTAAGCTTACAGTGGGGTCCCATAGCGGGAGGCGCCGGTATCAGTTGGCTGCCAAAAAGGTACTGTTGTACCTTAAGCTAGAGAAATATCGATGGATGCTCACGGTATTGCAGATATTTACTGTAATCGATCTGCTTTCAATGACAAACATACATTTTCAGCCATGTGCGCTGCAGTCCTCCGGCCTACGTTATTCTTTCTCTTTCGGTGTTGAAGAGCATGTTGAGGGATTCCGCGGCGAAGAGCTTTAGCATACCGGAACATTTCCCGGGGTAGCAAATGCCATGCAACGAACGGATACTGACGTAAGCTGGTAGAATCCGTCATGGAATGCCGCTGGATGCTCACGGTATCATGGACGGTTGTTCTCATCAACATATGCTGCATTGTGAGATATCATTTTCGATGCTTCCCCCTGTCGTTCTCCGCAGTATGCTATTTTTCCTTTTTCGGCATGGGCATGCTATGAGATCCAGAAACGAGACAGGCCGGTATGCTTCGGCATCTCCTAGCTGTCGGAATATTGAGACATGGATGTATGCTCGCGGTATCACGGAGTAGAGTGTGTAACCAGCTAGTCAGTAGCTAAGTCGTCTTGGTGTTCCGTGTGTTTAATTGTGCTCTTTCGGCATCAGGGAGCATGCTGATGGATTCCGCAGCAGGATGCGTCAGCAAACCGCTACAATTCTATGAATAATGACGTAAGTTGGCGAGATGTCACGAAATTCCCACGGATGCTCACGGTATCGTAGAGAATTACTCTTATCCATGTGCACTGCCATTAGTGGAATACTTTTCGCTATTGTTCGTCTTTCCCTTTGGGGCAATTGAAGAGCGGGAGGAGGATGCCATGTCCCAGATCTAGCAATGTAATTGTTACAACAAGACAGCAATATCTACTATTTTCTTGTAAAAAATGACAGACTTGAACGACTCCGCCACTTTTGCCGCCGCATGTTCTGCCACGAGTAACGTAGTCGCTTGTTCATGGATGCTCTCATATATTAGCATATGTTATGTATTCAGACCTTATTTACCCCAAGTCAAGGCAAACAAGAGCACTCGATCATCGATTCTATTCGACTTCCGCTGCCACTCCCAGGCGTTTATGATTCTGTGGCCAATAGAAGCACGCAAACTTAAACATCGCCGGCTGATGCTTGTTTTTATGGGGAGTAAACGAGATTTTAATACATAATAGTTGATGTGTCAAGTGAAGCGCTGCTTGACGCACGTCCTCTCCCTGTAGAATCCTCTCAATGTTCAATAAATGGAGATCATGACTGATATCAGCTCGACTCTCTGATTCCTAGAAACGGCTGAGCATTGGTACATTTTTCAAATTTGATTGGCAAATTTTCAATCGTGCGTACGGATGGCTGATGAATTAAGTGCGAAGCGGCAACAGGGCATGGGCGCCGGGACGTTCAGCGTCGCCGTCGACCCACCCAGCTGCTGATGGGATATCGGCGCTATCACAGCGACATCTACACAGTCAGATTAGCAACCAAATGCTATCTGGATGGGGACGCGCGCATACCCAAGTCGAAACATTGACGAATCTACACCGATGTTGCCAAGCATGAGACGCTTTTGATAAAAAGGTCAATATACAAGGGTGTTACTAGATTTGGTATCATTCAAGGGGTAATTTTTTGGCCTATTCTGAGACAGTTACTGCTTTGGTGATTTTAGAAAAAAAAAGCTTTTTTGCAGGTACAGGCTGAATGTTTTTTTATTAACAAAGATAATATACTTGAAACTTCTTCGATATGCACAAATAATGTTCAAAATTACTTCCAGATAGAAAAGCAGAGGTGCGATAGTCTCCTGTTAAGCGTGCTAGGTCTTACATATATACATCAAGAACATGTATTGTTATTGAGCTTACATACACCTATTTATCTGATATAACGAGCTTATTCCCACATGAGTAAAGTGAATTAATTTTAGATATATTGATAAAGAATAAGTTTCAATCCGAGCAGAAGTAGCCTAGCTGCAATGATTATAGTGGCATTGAACTTGTCAATGGAGCATCTTTGACCTCATGATCAGACACGTCTTTATATATTCATTGCTTTACAAATACGTCTATTGTAGCTGATGTTACTTGAATATATCTCTAGAATACAGCCACCAATACAAAACTTTTCGTACGTTTTGCTAACCCGTGCGCACGGATCTCAACGTACTCAAAGACACATCGCGTTAACAGTGGCGTATGGTTTGTTACTTTATTCTCTTGCTTTTTTTCACGTGACAAAGTCAAAATCAAGTAGATTCAGTTCATTGCTTAAAGCAGTAGAGTAGACGCCTTAGAGAGGCTCCACATATCATATTTTGCCTAGCGGCACTCTTACTCGACGGCCACGAACCCCAAAAGAAGAAACAAAAATGCTTGTATTGAGACAATTTTGTAACAGCCCTAGGACATGGAGGCATTGCGATATATGATTCCAAACATTTCCATTATCGATTTAACAGGATTACTGTTTTCAAACCAAAAATACATTTTCGACTCAAAAATTACGTTGTACTGCGGATCCCTATTTATCCATTTATAAAAAATAAATTTCAAGAACAAAGTACATTTGGTGAAGCTACAAATGCAATGTAGCAAATCTTATTTATTAAAATACTCGTTTTAATTTCTGCAATTTCAAATGACATAAGTCAGTACATCTTGTTTAAAAATTCGAGGGTTGCTACCCACACCTTGAGGGTTTTTTTATACACCAACTACCACGAAGGCCTATGGCCTAAACACCCATGGGGTACAGGGGAAAGGGGAAACGCCCCACGGACTCGGGCGAGGGAACACGTGTGCATGCAACATGCATACATTCTGGCCCCGCCTACGAGTTCCGCCGGGTGGTACCTCCGCGTTCGACAGTCAGAGACCGTCTACCAGCTACGGACAATCACAACATCCATAGCCAAGAGAAAAAATTCTCTTGGGACGGGATTCGAACCCGCACAGCGCACGACGACTGATCAGGAGACCGAAGAGTCTACTACTGCGGCCACCGCTGTTGCCTCAGTCACCGCTGCTGCCTCACCACCGCTGCCGCCTAAAGGGTGTTATATTCGGGCATGAAATATTCCATTCAACTTAATTATTGAATCTAAAAATGATTTTTCATGAATATACAGTGATTGACATAACGAATTTGCTTAAGTTGGTTCCTAGGTTATTAAACTTAATATCCAATACTTCAAATTAATCAATCAACTCAAATATATACTTTACTTTTTTCCCCTTTTTCGGTAAACTTATTTATCAAGACCTTTCGTAAGTCTGTGGATAACATTTTACCAATTTTTCCTTGCACACGTCAGGGCCCCTGAAGCCTCGGGATGTCGTCTTCTATTGCGATTGCTCATAAATACTTACCCATAATTTTTTATACTTCCTGCACCCGTCGTAGCAAAGACCAATCTCAATGACGAAGTTGAGAAGGCAAGCACCAGTCTGACAGATCCATCTAGTAGGTCGAGGGGTAATATGACACGATGAAGAAAAAATTCTAAGTACTTCATTCTTTTATTCTTTATTTTAGGGAAAAATAAGTGTAAAGGTGTAGATCCACAACGAGGTTTTTTCTTTATATTTTTCTCTCGTCAAATAAAAGTCTCCTGAAAAATATTATTTCATTGCGGAAACAGGCGTGAGATACGTTATATAATCTCGGGAAACAATGTCTCATGAGATTTTGATCACTTATACAAGTTTCGATGTGTAAAGTTGATATTTCGCGAATCTCACATGAGACATTTATTTCACTTGCTGCACGTGAGTTACGTTGTTATATCGTGAGATAAAAGTTGTGTCTACGGAAATGGGCGAATCAAGTGAAAAGATAAGGTTCAAAAGGAAAAATGCTATCTTCAATTGGACGAGAACCATGACAATAGAGTTAATAGAGTTATATTAATCTTATCCCAATTGTCGGAAGCTATATATAAAAACAGAAAATCGACCATGCACGAAAACCGCTCAGCAGCTGGAATTACCTTTTCTTCATCCCCAACACTTGTGAAGCCTTATGTTTACAATAGGTACGGAACGGGTATAACGTATCTTGAAAAGTGACATTATGCCGATTTTTTTAACATTATGTAGGTTTTTCGCCAAGACGTTGACTTTCCACCTAGTTATACGTGTTGCCTAAATGTCATGAGGTTTGTTATCAATCTTTGGCTCCGATGTGATGTAAAATCTGCTTCTGAGATGGCATTACGGGAGGTCTAAGCTGTAAGTTGTATGTGTTGATGATAAATAATTACATTGGGTTCTTGTCTCAAATACACTTAATTGAGATTCAAAGCTAGAAATTAGTTGCGCATCCACTTTTTCTTATCCATTCTGGAAATTACATATACAAATTTGCTGAATTTAAAAAATGAGAGAGATAAGAAATAATTATATTCACTGTACAGTGTCAAATTACAAGCCATATACATGCTAACAGTAATTACACACAACGCGGGCGCGGTGAGGATTTCCCGTAATTCTCCTCAGTTATTCGTAATTTATAATTTTGAACATAACCTCTCTTCAGAAAACACACCATAAAAATAACCCCTCGGGCACAGCCAATAGATATACTTCACTGGCAGCATATTCAGTAATGATTGTCTTACAAAGCAAATATCACTGATTTTATACACATGCAGTCCAATACACAATCATCCAGATGCGATCTTGCTATTCAACCAACTTTCTTCTCAGAGATAAAAACTACAGACAAGGACCATTTGGCCTCACAAAACATATGCAACCAATAGTGCATGTAGTTTAGTTGAGTGATTCCACCTTAGATGGACGTTCACAACGATCCTAGTGAGCAAACGTGGAATGACTGTTTGAGCCCTAAAAACTACCTAGTTTGCAAGATGACATCTTATAGGTTTTTTTGACATTTTATAGTTTTTTTACATGATACCCATGCGGGACTCAACACCAAGATAATAATAACCGCTTTTCTTCTATGCTTTTTTGTTAGCATCTTTAACCCGTTATTATTTAATAGTAATCAATAATTTTATGATGTACTTTTGATGACGTTCACAGCGATCATAGCGAGCAAACGTGGAATGAACTATTTGGACACTAAAAACTACCTAGTCTACCAAAATTAAATTTTGTGGTTTTTTACATAATAATCCCCCGGGCTATTACAAAAAGCCGTTTATGAAAAATGGCGTTTCGGAAACCACTTGAGAAGTTGGAGGACATCTGCAACCACCTTCTGGCGAAAGCATGCATCTAAACTCAAGAAATACGCAACTATTAAATCTTAGATCATATTCATGATGAAAATACTAAGCGAGGTTTGTTCTCTACGAGAAAAATAAAAATCCAAAATTAAAATCAAGAATTTTTAGGTGTGACACTTGACCCTAAGCTCCAATCACATTGATGTTCTATCCATAAAACTTTCTCAGAATATTTAAGTCATCCGCAACCTGTTGCGAGAAGTGTCGCCGTATTTGTTACTACGCACTATTTGAGTCATACATAGCATATGCAATTATTGCATACTCTGCAGAGGCAGCTAGAGTGTTTGGGTTGCAGAGGCCTGTTAGATTGATGGGAGGGCTGTAATACATAGTTGATTGCCAACATGTGTTCCTTGAATGGAAGCTGCTGACTATACCAAGTCTGTATGAGTTCTATGCTACGGCGAACCAAATGACACGATCGAGTTCAAACAAGTACTGAGGACGAATGACATGTGCCCCTGTATCCCCTCCACGTCCGGCGCCGCCAGTGTTGCCGGATCGAACGTTACGTCGTTAGTCTCAGTACTTAATGTACAGACCTCGTATAAATACAATGTGTGAAGTCGACGACAGAGTTCTCGTTCATGTATAATACCAACCTGTTTCAATTACGAATAGAAGTCGTATGTGATATTTGTTGCTCACACCTTGTATAAGTACTTCAGCTACCACAAATGTATTTATCCTATGGAAAGACTCTTCGAGCTGACAACATAGCAGAGCGGAAAACCTCTAGGCTTGCGGACGTAGTTGTGTGGATACAAGGCCAACTCAAAAAAGAGGTATTCAGCTACTTCAAACAGAATGACACGGTCTAAATATAGCGATCATTCATTCCCGCCTAGATGCTCATCAGCAATGAACAGTCTTTTTTCGCTTCTCTTATTCGTTAAATTTTGATGAGACTAGAGCATATCCTGGCTCAAACGATGCGACGGATGAGAAACGCTCGAAACATACAGGGTGTTTTAAAGTTAAAAAGCAGAAAGTCCCATTAACTCCAGCCTAGACGCTCATCAATAATGAATTATCTTTTTTCGTTTTCGTATTTGTTAAATTTTGATGTTACTGACGGATATCCTCTGGCTTGAACGATGCGATGGATGAGAAATTCTCGCATCGTTACAAAACAAAAAATTCCATCAATTCTATAGCTTAGACGCTCATCAGTAACGTTTCATTTCCCTATTCGTAAAATGTTGAGACTAGAGCATATCCTGACCTAAACGATAGATAGATAAGGAACGCTCGAATCACACAGGGTGCTTTGAAGTAAAAAAATCGAAATTCCATTCGGATGTCTTTTGTAACAATTTATCGTCTTTGACCATGTTTCATTTCATCTGCTCCTTTTTGCTCAAACGTTTATTATCTTGTTATTTGTCTGTGTTGATGGAACACTTTTTAACCTGCCAAAGTGCACTCGACCAAGCTGATATGCATCATTACGTCATATGATTAATAAATCTATTCTATTCCAGCCTAGACGTTAATCAATAATGAAATATCTTTTTTCGTTTTAGTTAAATTTTGAAGTTTCAGGGGCATATCCTAGCTCCCACGATGAAGTGGAAGAGAATTGCTCCAAATATATAGGGTGTGTCAAATTCGACCCTCATCATTGGGAATTCGGAAACTGTAACAGATACCAACTGGGACAAAGTTGCGTAATTAGATAATCAACAAAATGCCGCTTAGAGAGATACGAAATTCAAACTACTACCGGAGAGAGACGGAAAAAACGAATTTTAAAATCGTTCCAATTTTTTCCTGAATCTGTAGTGGATTTTCAAAATAAATTCCACACTTTTTCTGCTCAACAGTATGGCATAATTAGAATTTCAATATGACGTTTCGTCTCTTGTTCTCTTGATGAATGGTTTTTAATTGTGATTCCAAAAATGCATAATACGAGATACATCGACCCGTACTTTGAATTTCGAAACTTTCTAAGCGGCATTGTGTGGATGATCTAAATACGCAGCATTGCCCCCATTTAAGCGACTTCGTATCTCCGACAGTTTCCGAGATCCCAGTGGTGAGGGTCTAAAGGTGTTCCGTGGTTCAAAAATAAGAGTTCCATTCATGTCCGTTTTCGAATATGACACTTTTAAATCAGTTCATAACTTAGCATCTAACGAGCACGTTAACAGCACGTTTAATGTAACTTCCGAATCTTGCGATATGCATGGTAAGATGGTAGGTTATACGTTCTTTTCGCAAATCGTTGGGCACACAACACGCTTAGAAGCAGCACAACTGAACGGCACTTTAATTTTGCCCATACCGAGAAGGAAAGTACGTCGAAATTAGAAAATTATTTCCTAAAGTAAATAGATGATACTAATTTTGCAGCACAATTTTAGATCCTCTCAAGTTTCGTTCGGCCATTTCTTTGACATTTCTAGAGTCTTTATAAAATGAAACAATGTGAGCGAATCAACACGGCGCATACCACAGGTGTCAATTTTCGTTTTCGAAAACGGAACAATGTATTTTCTTCAAATTTTGAAGAAACATTTCCTTAGTCATCTTGTGGTCAGTTTTTTTTTTTTGGTTCTTATGAAAATCCTAACATAGAAAAATACAAAAGTATCCCACATTGAGCAAGCCTATGAAAATGTTATGGAAATTGTCTCGAGGATGAAGGGGAACTGAAATAGAAAAAGGCAATGACATGAGCTACCTTTATTTTACGGGAACAAAATACAAGTGTATAAAAATAACATCAAGACACACTAAGGTTATCGTAAATTCTAACAATCACAAAATAATATTCGATCAGTCCAAAAGAAAAACAAATATTGAGCACGCAATACACAATTTTCTAATACTTTTTGATATACGTACAAACATGGAAAATCGAAACTTCGCGCGACTTTCAGGTGATCAATGCATCGTCACAATGCTGAGCTGCTGTCTCGCGCACTTTCGATTTGCCATCTGCAAACAATGATACACACGCTTTTCTAATATATTGCACATGTCAAATACCTAAAATGAACACCTTAACTGTATAAGAGGAAAGATGAATATATGAACTAAATATTTCTTCCAGATCACATGTTGCATTTAAAAAAAAAACACAAATACAATTACATTGGTCATTTGATTTAATTTTAATTCGCTTTTTTTTTAATCCAGGAGTGACAAGTGACAGTGCTCATTACATCTATCACAAAGGCGAGTTAGCTCATATCGACAACCCAATCTTTCACAAAATGAAGCACTGATGCACCTTTGGCGTCATTTCCGTCACAAACATTTAATATAGTCTTTAAAATCTAAAATTTAATCGCTCAACCGATCAAAGACATTGTTTTTATTCATGGTTGAAAATTCTCTCGAGCGTCATGTTAGTGAGCATAAGTTTTCATATGAAATGCAACACGGTCTCATTTTCGAGTGACTATTATTGTATTCAATCTACTATTAGTTATCCAGTTTTGATGAGAGGTAAAATGGTACACAAAACAAACAAAGAATGTATTCCTAAAACATCATTTTTCTCTTGAAAAATACTGATATCGTAAAAAAAAACTTACATTTCAAGAAACTGCTTGTTTGTTACTTATAAATTTTGATTATTGTCTTAAACTTCATAGAGATCGCAAATTTCAATTATTAATATTATTTCAGATAACCCAACCGATAGATCGAGCGACAAAAAATTGCAGACCAATTCTATCGACCCAGTTATGATAAGGTACATGTCCCATCAAAACTATAAAACGTACAATAATTTATATCATACAATAATTATAATTATTAATACTCTTAAACTATCGCTAAAAATTCATAAACCATAAAAGTTAGCCCAAGTGCTAAAAATCCTTCTTAACCCAGACCATGGTCGTCGAAGAATCCTTGCGGAGTTTCCTCCTAGAAAAAGTCAATAATTAGATCATAAGCAAACGTTCATCAACAAGACAGTGGATAAAAAGATATAAATGCATTTCACATACCTATGATACTATGTCAGCAACCCACGTAACTTCGATACAAGTCTTCTTTATCCACTGTCATGCTGATACCGATTTTTTTTTTAAGTTAACACATTCACTTTCACTACAGTACGCATTCGAAAAGTTAGTAAAAGCATTCCTTGAGGTCCAACAACCAAAATGTCTGTCACCAAAGGCAATATTTAATCATGAGAATCGTCACATGCGTAATACTGTTAACAAAAAAGATACGATTAAAAGAATTCCAAGACTGTCGAATTCAAATCCGTAATATTCCGTGTTGCATTGATAAAAACTTGCGAAAAAAGTGCAGTAAGCAATATCCCTTCCCCGTGAATAATTGTATAAAGCTGCACTCCCACTGAGGCGATGCGACGCGAAAAGAGCCGCGGCGAAATTTACCGTCAGAAGTGACTTCGCTTCGAAACGCTCCAGTGCCCGGGAGTTTCGCTTCCCTTCTCCTCAATGGGTGTGTATCTTTAAGGTGTTAGTGGTGGAGTTAAATAAAAATTTTGCAACGTGAACTATGTATTAATAGTAAAAAAATACAACTACAACTAGAAACTACATACTAAGCAAAAACTATTATAAATTCATTGGCAAGGTTCCACATAGTATTTGAATATTTTATATTAGTAAACAGTTTGGTGCAAAAGCTAATATGGATATAAAAAGGTGTGTATATCAACCATTATAGTTTTTCTCATACTACAATACTAATGGCACAATCCGAATAATGGTAGATCAAGATCATATCTCATAAGATTTGAAGGAAACAGGATTGACTAGAATTTAGAGCGGCCTGTTTCTAGAAAGCTTCTTCATTCTATCAGTAGATCTTCAAGAATAATGTCATATCTAGTCGGACTGATCAAAAGAATATTGAAGAAAATTATGTTTTATATATTAAATAGCCGGACACACCAAAAACTTGGCAATCACGCATTTTTGGAAAAAAGGTTTCAAAAAGTTTCAGGATATCAATAAAGCAATTTTCTCGATGAAGTCATGTATGACCTAGGCATAAACTTTAGAGGTCATGTGAAGGTCAATTTTGTAAATGCAAATAGCAGATTCGTGTCGAGCTCGAGATTCTACATCAGAATGCATTTTCATATATTGCATCAGGCGTTGATTCAATTTGCTTTAACGTCTGAAAAGTACTCGAAAACTTGACAACCACGCATTTGTTTCAAACAAGGCTTGATTAGAGTTTTAAGATATATGAAAAGCAACTTGTCGTAGACCAAAAATATGACCTAAGCAATGACCTCAGAGGTCAATATTCTACAGTAGAGTGCATTTCCATACACGAGTTCAGGCGTCTAAGTGGTTCAATTATGACCTACTGTCACATCTGGAAAGTACATGAACATCCTGAAAACTTGTCAAGAATGCATTTTTTAAAAACTGATTTCAAGGAAAGATATCAGAAAAGTAATTTTTCCATGACTTAAAATAAGACCTAGTCAATGGTGGATGCTGCTTGAATTTACAAACTTGACCTCCAAATGGCCTCTTAGGTCATTACCTAGGTCACATTTGAGGTCATCGACAAATTGCTTTTTTAATATCCTGAAACTTTTCTTAGAAATGTCCCAAAAAATGCGTGGTTGCCAAGTATTTAATATTATTTATATCAGTTAAGCATTTGGCTATAGATTTTGCACAGAAAAACGAACAAGGTTTTTATATATTTTTGTATATGTATGACGTCATTCAAAACGTGTCGCTTCAAAGGCGGGTTACTTACGCGAAAGAAATCATGGTCCAGAGAGTTATAAGTGAACTGAAAAATTCATGAGTTCGTTTAATTAATAAATTAAAGAAACCTCTATATATTGAAAAAGCTTTCTAGTGATGCCAGGAGCCAATAAGATTATCGTATATTTGCTCTCATGGATATTACTTATGAAATTATTCATTATCATTACCACCTTTTCTTGAAGATGATTTTTGAACTGTTTCATGATTCTGTTATATAAAAAGGTCATAATTTGTTGTCTTTAAAGTCAAAAATCACAAATAAGAAAAGATAATCATCCAAACTAAGGGTAAATTGTTCAATTCTGCATGTATGATGTGTGCTATGTTTTAAAAAAATACTATATAAATGCTATATTATAAAAATATGGGCAGTTGTTAATATTTGGCAAACAGATATGGAATGATGAAAAATGAATCACACAACATAACCATTTAAAAATGCTAGAAAGAGCGATTTTATCCTATTTATTGAACTTGACTAGCATTGCATTCTATTGCTACCAGGAATAAATTGTTAAATGTGGTATACATTCAATACTATTAAAATGACATCTAAGGATTCATATACCTTCAAAATAGTAAAGGCGTGTCTACATCACAGCATCTTAAAAATCAGTGCTATGCATCGAGAAAATTTTCATGACCTGTTCTCATTTATCAATTCCTTTAGGCTTTCTCAACAAATGTAATCTAAATTAATTTATATACCATACGAATCAGTTACGGATAAGGTCGGCCGAGTTTCAATGTGAACAACAGATAAGCGTGCAACACATGTTAGAAGGAGTTAGAAAGAGTGCTTCGTGACCACTCTTTCTTACATGCACGTAGTACGTTTCACTCGATTCACCCTGACGTATACATTGAAACTCGGCCGACCTCAACCATAAATGATTCGCACAGTATATATTGTAACACATTTAGCAATGTTTTACTGTAAACTATCGGGGTTACTGAAGCACAACAGAAGGACGGTTAGCATTTCCATGGCTATGTTCTGCGATTCTGCTAACAGATTAATTGGAAGTACCGATTTCAACGGTCAGACGTTTAGGAACTAATGTTGACATGACAAAACACTTTTTAAGAGGTAATAAATTGGTATGAGAAGCTAGGTGTTGTTACAGCAACCCGATATCCCGTAAAGCTCCCTCTACTGCCTCGTCCTTCAATATAAAAAAATCAGAAAAACTATTAAAACCACTTGCAAGGTACAGATCTGTCATCTATATTCAGAGCTGTCATTCTACGATCATTTAGTACAACGCGTAAAACTGCGCTCCACAATAATCTTCCTAAAGAGGAGAAACTGTTAGAATTTCAATTTTTTGTAAAATGTTACTGTGATCAATGTTACTATATACATATATTATGATTACAAAATGAATTATGCAGCTCTGAATATATATTAGACAAACATCTTTCTAGTCATAAACTGGTAGTTCTAACCATGATAATTTCTCTTAAAAAGCCATACATTTTCATTAATTTACTTTCAGAACAACGACTACTTTAATGAATATCACAGCCAGAACAAACAATTTACTGACCAAGTGACTATTATACTAATATAAATACCAACACCATATAAGTTTCGAGTGTCGCACTATACTAAAATTGCTGGACGCCTACAAAACAAACAAAATTTTGCAACATTTTTTATAACGTTTATTTGCTATGTTTTACAGGAACAACAAATGACTGGCATTAAAATTCATAAAAACACCGTGTGCAAAGTAACAGCTCTAACATCACTGGATTTATAATCTAGATGTGAGAATTAAAAAATTCTACAACAAACTATTCTACATTTACTGTATATATGGTGCTTCTTAATTGAATGTCAATATCTAAGGGGGTTATTTTTTGGACCCATTCGAAGAAAAAATCATCTTAAAAAAATGAAAACTGTCTTCATTTATGAGCAGACTTGATTTTTTAAATCGTTTTAGTTCGACGCACGGTCAAATCCATTTATCTACATGGTGATATTGTCATATTAACGATATTGTTATAATCATGCAAAGAAACGGTTATTATTTTTTTAAGCGGAAACCGCGCATAGGATTGAAAAATGAAGCGATCAAATTAGCGTAGAAATGGTTGGGAATAATTTTTATTTCAAAGCAATCAGTAACGTACCACCAATCTCTGCTGAAGCAGGCAGGTGCTATTGGTAGAAATTAAAAAAATGCGATACATTGTAAAATGTAGTGTTACAAGACATTTTTAATAAACTATTAATTTTTGAAAATCTACCACACTATATCTCAAAAGACCTTTAGTACATATATTCATATGAAGTTTTCTTCTTAAAATGAACCCCAAAATTGCCCCCTTAAATAGTGACATTCATTTAGGAAACACCATGTATATTTTTGATCATCACTAGCAAATTTTAAATTTAATACTCGAACTTCCGGCAAATTTAACATACACCAAGGAACTCCAGAGTAATCTATAATATGAAACATATGCATCTTTATGTCGTGTCCATCATTCCTGTCGGCGGTTTGTTATCTGTACGAGTTCATTGGTGTAAGCTTTCATAAATATAAGCTGGTATAATTCTATCCTAATTTCACTTCTAGTAAAAGCTGAGGTAATAACACATCAAAATACTGACGCGATCATGTATTGTCTTGAAATGCGCTATCGTTATTATCATATCTTCGAGACTATATAAACTATAACGACAAACAATATAAATATTTTAATTGTTCAGAAAAAAATAATACTGTATAGACTGGATGGAATGTCAGCTGACTTCCCAGTTATCTATTTATACAAAGCATCCTAAATCTTAGTCCTATGTCTCAATAATTTGTTGAAAATCTTCAAAAGCACAGACATTATATTTCTTCTCTGAAATGAGGAGCTTGATCTATTATGGACGAGCAATATTTTTGTTGCAATATTTAGCTACTATAACCATAGCCCGGCTGTAAAGAGAAATCCATAAACCACTGATGCCGTAATGTGTACGAGAAGGAAGCATGCAATACGGATGTTAGAAAGACACAGAAGCACTACGTTGCCTAGCAACCCGTGCGCAGCCGCGGCTTGCCTCGTTGCCGTCAGCACACTCTTTTCTAACGTACGTAATACGTATTGCACGCTTCTCTCTTGTACACATCATCTCGTCAGTGATATTTGGATTTCTCTGCTATTTCTTGCTAATATTATCTCCAATATGTAGACATATACTTTCCAGAATTACATAAGTAGGATTCTGATCGTTCGGCAATATGACAGCAATATCCCTCCAATATTATAAATGACAGTGCTGATGTTGTGTTACTCAATTACACCAAAGTGGCGGCACGGATCTGGATGAACTTTGCCATAGAGATAGGTTACAGTAAGTTTAAAATATCTATTTCCCAGGCTACAGCCTAAACGGCTTAATGTATTTTGACATAAGGGTCCGGCGCGGAAGGTTATATAAATAGGGCATCTTGATTTAGATTTGTTTGGTATTTTGCTTTCCTTGTATAATGCAGTGGATAAATAGTTATTCGGTTAGGATATGTTGAGATATGCCTCAAAGGCTGCGAGATACTTGACGTACTATTTATTATGATTCTGATCACACATTTGATATCAATTTATTTTTTGATGAACATGTTGAATAAAAAATGCCCACTTCTAAAGTAACTAGTGCATTACTTTGAATCACCAATCCCAATCACCTCCACACTAATGCATAATGAACAGTCTGTACTTTACACCAAGTACTTCCACGCAGGTGGAGCCACGGGTTTGGTCTAGTACGAAAATATCACAAATGTCAAACATGTCTAGCCGATCCATACTAAAAATATTGCCGTATGTTGCTAGCTACTCATTGCATCTAGATAATGCAGTAAAAATATTGCCCATTAAGAAGCGCCATTAGGTACGACTATATATCCTGATGAACCCGATCAATGTTCAATATTGTAGCAAACAACATGAATCTCCTCGGTCTATCTTTGGAGCGGGTGGCTCTTAAAAAGGTAGTAAGATCAGCAAAGAATTTAGGATAACTTGTATAAATAGGAAACGGCGGTTATGGAGGGTTTAAGTATAATCCACATTCAAAGAACCATGCATACATGCACCCAAACAGAAAACAGTTATTTTTGGAGCATCTTGGAGTCATGCAGATTATTTTGGCACTTCAGAGCTTAAAACATTTCGGCAAACTGGCAGACAAGGACTAACTATTGTTTCATTATAGTGACGTCAGATAAGTTAAATGCTTGATAATAAATCTTGTACCAGAGAATATAATGATTAGTGTCAATAATTTCTTTTGAAGCAAATCCTGTAGCTATAAAAAAAGTCTGACGTCACTCAAACATTGTATTTGCAGAATCATTGCTGTTTTGATTAAGAGAAGCATATTTGGATATTTGATGCAAAAAATCAAAATATGTTTGTTAAAAAACCCCGACACATATGTAAGCACGTACATAAATTTGTTGCTTCCCATTTACTTCATCGGAGTTTTTGATTTGAAACATATGTTTAAATGAAAAACTGGCAAATGTATTCACCTTGATGCATCAAACTATTTCCATAACAGCTTCAAAGCATAGGTACCTGAGATTCTCCAAATACATTAAGGGAAATTTGACTAAAAATCACTATAGTATACTATATTAGGAACATATAACTGCATCTAGGTACTTAACGTAAAAGTGGATAAGAGGACGTATTTAGCTCTCGTTCAAGTCCTGAGTGTGTGCACAACACATTCAAAATATTATACTTGGCATAGAATGTACCATGAAAAACAACTGATATGTTAATCTTTTTTTCAACACAGGACTAACGCAACAGGCGGAAGTTTTCGCAAATCGTCAAGAACAACAAGAAAATCGGACTCTACTTTGTTTCCATACTGTACAACCATATATGAACATTTATCTTAGTATATTTAGATACCTCCAACTCCGGTAATTCTATGCTCCTATTAGCCACAATTTTCAGATCATAGATTTCCCTGTACATGTTCCTTTAAAACTTAGAATGACAGAGAAATGTTTCTCTGCGTACTTCTGAGATCTAAGCCCACCGCCTGGCGAACCGGTTCAGCTGACTAGCCTATCCCACAAAACATCTATCCGTACTGCAGCACAAAAAATCATGTACACGGACCATGCAGTATAAGTTGCTGCGTAGGAACAGCAGAGTCAACCTACTTGACGGATTTCTTTTATTAATACTTGTTTTTTCCTTACTGGTAATAAAAAGATTATTTTCTCATGATATAATACAAGAATTTTACGTATTTTATATACGGGTACTCGGGCTATACGTGTACTTTTATAAAATGCAAAATTTTTCTAACTTATTTTTTTTTAAATAAGTTTCATGCATATTTCAATAGGAGGTCGGTCAAATCTCGAGGACTCGGGCTTTCTAGAAAAATGGTTAAGAAACTGTACCTGGGTGGTAACACAAGGGTTTAAAGTTCATATAAATGTTATAGGAGTTGCTTGTATCTCAGAAAAGAGCAGTCAATTTCACTCAAACATCCATCTAATATTAGAATTCCTGGAACTTCTACGATTTGAAATGAAATACAAAATGCTAAATTAAAGATAATACTCCATACTATTGTGTTACTTATTCAAACAAATCAGTTAATATTCATGGTACAAACAATAGTAATGTATTAAGGGAAAAACACAAACATGTCAAGCAGTAAGTGAGAACAGATAGATTGTGCAAAAGGAATATCCATGTATGCAGGACTGTGTGTTTTACCACAACTAATACCAATTTTCGAAATGCTCAAATCATCAGTACAGTATTATAAATATGCTACCTTTATGTTCCTGCAGTTAATTTTATTATTATTATTATTATGGCAAAACTATACCTGATGAAATACCGTTTCATATCTCCAAAATGGAATGAGTTTTATAAATAACTATATGTTTACTATGAAAAATTTCCAACCAGATCTATGCTACTGGACTGTGAAAAATAATGTATAACCCTGACAAAATCTTGGTTTTGAATGAAACTTGCTATAAAGCCCCCTCACAAAAAACTCTACATATATAATTAATAATGATTAAGAAATAAATTCTATCAATCTATCATAGCTGTGAAGTCTTAAATTACCTTTTCCATCCTAATAAACTACACCCCATCTTCTTCACTTCTATCTACACATTTTCTACAAAATAATCTAAGTATTTCTGACTAGATATAAGCTGTTCCCCAACACACAATCCTGCTACAGTTCAATATTGCCATGACTAACCTCTTGAAGCAGATCCTGAGCTGCAATAGCCTTCAGAACATTCTTCTTGCTGGTTTCTTGAACCTCCCCTCCCAGAAGAAGCTCATCCAGGATAAAGTAGGCTTTTTCAAAGTTGAAGATGATGTCCAGCTCACATACCTTGACATGCCATTGAAAAATTATCCTATATAGCTTTTCTAAGCATCTACCTTCATAGTACCAAGAAACATTTAAAATTCTGAAAAAATTGCTTAGGAAAACTGAAGTGCTGGGTGCTCTGTGGTTCTAATTCAAGTACATTGAGAAAGTTTGTCATAATTTCCATGGAAATGTCTATATTTTTATATCAATAAATGTAATAACAAAGGCACAACCATTGTGGGATGTGACTTAAAGAGGTCCTTTGCTTATAAGATGAAGTTTTATTTTTTAGTCTTCAATTGTTATTTGAAGCAAGGATATAATCCCATTTTGTGTTTCTTCAATAGAGTTTATCTAGTAGATAAATGCCTTCACACATATTATCAAATACCCCATAATACAAATATTCCTATCAACATTTGCATGGGTTTGTGCTCAATATTTAATATAAGCAAATTGTTCAAAACCCCTCTAAATAATAAATTGATACAATAGGACAATAATGTGTCTTATTAATGTCCAAGATGAATGTCACATGATTAGTATTTACCGTTATCCATAGCATCAGTATTTACTAATCATTCGTTGGTGCCAGTTGATTTTTATGTAACCTTATACATCAATAAATATTGATGTGTGGGCTACACAATCAATAAATAACTCATACCATGACATGCTGATGGATTATAGTAAATTTCATGACATCACAGCCTGTCCTATTGGTTGGGGGATAAACACAAATTGCCATTTAATACAATGTAAATTAGCTCTACTATTTTTGCTTATCTATTTTACATCCTTTATGAAGATAGTCAGAAATCAGTTGGAAATTATTACTGTTATTTAGTTATTTGTGAAGAAATATTGAAATGCTCCCCTTTGCAGTGGTGACCACCAGCTCACAAACGAAGCTATTATAATCATTTCTTACAAATTGCTGAATAGTTAACAATTTTCAGAGATTCTCAATTATTTTCACCGAGGATTTAAAAGATATAAGCAATAGTAGAGCTAATTTACAATAAATGAAGTATTGACAATATATTTGTTCTCCAATTAATAGGAAGACCTGTCAAAGTCACATGTTTGAAAATTTACTGATACTGATTGTGTGACATTCATTTATAGCTATCTTAGGATCTCCTTCCTTCCAAACAGAAATTTCAAACTATAAACTTTCACTCACACTGAGAAAAAGAGACGTGCAGGGAACTACAGAAACATTTGTCATTTGAACATGTTAAACTTGACCATCTCTTCCCTCTGTGCTGCTCAAAAGAGATTATTTACAAGAGATCCCAATATAAGGTGTTTTATTTCGCTTATTTTTGCCTCCCTACCCCATAAGCAGCTTGTACCTCTCTTGTAAGGAGACTCCTCATATTTGAGATAATAATAACAAGTATGTTATCATCCATTACTTACACTTCCAAAATATTTGTCAAGCAGTTCCACATAGCGATGGATGATTTCAAGAGTAAGAAGTTCATTGTCATCCTGTTCTATAGCACAGCAGAAGTACAGGCTTGCATACCTAAATAATTATACAATTAAGACATATCCTATGTTCCAAATCAAGGAAGCACTTATTACCGTTTGTAGACGATTTTGAGATCTCTCCATTCCAGAAAGCTGCACATTTTTGGCTTCCTCGCCAGAATTGTAGTGATCAGTTCCCTGGTGATTTTCTTCTTTAGTTTGTCTGGATGAGCTATGTACCATTTTTGCAGCCTCAGTTTGCCTTGGCGGCTGAACAACAGCATAAATTGCATCTGAAAGGCTTGTTTCAGTACTGCTCCATAATCGAATGAGAATATTCTTACCATTTATGTTTTCACTACCAATCGATAACAAATTATGGAAATGTATCACACATTGAATCACAATTACTACGTCTAGAATGATAAAAAAATTACATTTTAATGAAAAAATGCCTGGTGTAAATTTTAAAAGAAAATGATGTCATCAAATGACAGATGTCAAATTGACAGCATGGCAAAGTTAGAGATGTGATTTCTAGAGTACGGCTCATTCAGTGAACCGTTTTTTTTTTTGTTTAAACAAGATTCATTTCGGTTTAGTAGACATTCCGAGGTCGGATCTGTCAGTTGTCAAAAATCGCCAAAACGTCAAAAGTCAAAAGATCTAAAAGCAAATATCAACAAAACAATTATTTTGATTCCAATGATCTAATCCTGAATTACAAAAATGACTGGCAGAGTGAAATCAAGCACCCCTCGAATAGAAGTAGAAATTGAACGCAACCGAGAAGAAGCAAATTGGTTGAAAGTTATTGAATTAGCTGAACAACTCAAGGAAAAGTCTCCTGACTTGGGTGAGCTAAAATAAATTTACTATCATTGGTAACATTTACATATCTTTTATACTGCAGTATGCCTATCGGATTTCCTTATTGGAGAAGGAAAGTTGGAAAATTTCTTAGAAGAATGGCCTCCAGTAGATACGAACGTAAATAGGGCCAAGTTGGGGCTACTGGAGGCCAAACGAAGCTTGAGTTTAGTTATAACAGATGCGGGTATAAAGGTAAGAATTGTGTTCAAAGTATCAATGTACTAATAGCATAGTCCAACTGGACATTGGAATCTGTATTGTTGGTGAATGATAATTATACAAATTATGTTGTTGCTTTAAAAACTATTCCATGTTACCTGTATTTAATTTTAGCATGTCAGGTCTAGTACCTATGAGGGCTCAGTTTTGATCAGAAATAATAAATTCTTGTTAAACTGTTCATGCCCAAAAAATTAACTGAAGCCTCTATTTGTCTCAGATCTTTAGAATGCTGTGTGTAGATTCTGAATCAGAGGGCAATTTGATGTCAGATCCCACAAGGGGTCTTGAGCAACACTTCACAATTTTTAAGAGTCATATTACATTCAGCATCCCAAATTAAATATAAATGCTCATGGAATGTAATTTATAATCCCATGAATATTTTTGACCTTGACGAAGAATCATTGCCTGGGTATACATATAGAAAATAGGGAAGCAGCTGTGACAAATTGTCATAGATGATGCTATGGTATCTGATTCTAACGAGGATAATTTTTTGGATGCACAAATATAGCATTAGGTTGGTTGTCTTCAGGTAGAATATGTTAAACAAAGCAATTATATATGTTTATATTGTTGTTGTATATATTTGTAATTAAATGTTTTTATACTGTATCAATTCCATAAAAGCCAGATATAAATATTGTATGTGTATTTGACCAATTATTTTGGTAATTCTAGGCTGGAGTAGCAATGGATGCTCACTTACTATTAGGAAAGTTGCAATATGCATGTGGTCAGTATGGTGAAGGTTTGAAACATTTTAAAATGGCTGATCTGCAGAATTTGTCTGAGAAGAAGTTACCATTGTGAGTAAATTAGAAATTTTCTATATATTGATTTTTTTTCATTCTTATTAGTGATATTCTTACAAGTAAAAGTGATAATATGGATCATAGAAGCTATTAAAGTCTCATTACTGCCTTAATACATCTAAACCTCTAATTACCACAAAATAGAACACAGGAAATGACACATTACTTTTTTAAGCTAGTTTATGTGTTATCTAGATATCAGACAAGTACCAGTTTGAACAAGATTTTTTTTAATAAGAGATTCAGACTCATCATCAGACCGTTTTTGCTCATAGTTGATATAGTATTTGCAGAATAAGAAGTTTATCAATAACATAAATGTAGGCATAAGTAATTTAATTAGCTGTTTTTCCGAGTTTATTTCAACACATCTTTCAGGAGGAGTTTGAGAATAGTGGCAGAATCTTACGCAATCAAAGGTTTGTGTCTCCAAAAAGACGATAGTGCAACAAGCAAATTCAAGAAAGCCGAAAAAGAAGACGAAATGGCGAAATGTTTTGAATTAGCTTCAGATCTGAGTTTGCTTTATATGCAAAAAGTAGACAAGATGCAATCTGCAGCTGCTTCTAACACAGGCAGTCATTCACCCCAGCCTGCAGCACCACAAAGATCCTTGGGAGAGGTAACATTATCAGAAAGAATTGAAAAAGCAAAACTTTTGCAATCTCAAACTTAATTAGTGACTTACTACCTTTGATCATTCAATTTAACACTTCCACTTCCACTATAACATATTTTTTTAACGTCAGGTCTATTATTTTTGGTCATATTCAGTTGAGAGTATGGATTCCTTAAGTAGTTAACATTACGTAGTGTCAAAAAAGTGTCAAAAACAAGAAGTTTTCAAGGTCAACCAACATGATATTGGACCCTAGAATTGGCCTTGAGTCGATATCGGATATGATTGATGTTCCGAGAAAATATAATTCACCTGCTTAAAGGAATTAGATTTTAAATCAGAGTTCCTTGATTTTCAATAAATAACACCACTTGAAACAACACTTAGACACAATTTTCACACAAACTAATAATAGATCTACGAGTCTGAGTTGCGTACATGATGACATTGATGCGTATAAATATTTCGTTTTTTTTTTATCTGGAAGCGCTTTTGTATTTGATGCCTCAGTTTGTAATCATAAATCTTTTTGCGAGAAAGCAGGTGTCGAGATAAAGGTGTTTACTATACATACAATATCTGTATAATATTCAGATTACTTATTTCAGTTTCATTTCGATCAAAGCATATCAAGGCAAAATATGGTGGAGGAATATTACCGTGCGGTATGTGACTGTTTTATTTTTTTGCGGTGGGTAATGCATCATTATCAACCTTGAAGAATCAGTAACGATAGTTTTTATTGATTGCAAGGCGGGAACGCATTCTCACGTCATTTGCTGTCAGGTTTAGTTGCTTTCGTTTTGCAAATGAAGTGAGATAGTCAAAGCAGAGATGAGGCTGTCAGATCGACGAATGTTATTTTTAAGTCTCGTAGGCAGAAACATAAATGCCGGGTCGCGGCGATTGCTATAAAGGACTTCAAAAGATGCCTTGTTATCCGATTTTTGAACTGTCTAAGGTTATCAGAACTGGGAAAACCTCCGTAGACAGACTGTTCCACAATCTCGATGTGCTAAGCTGGAGGAGAGCTCTAAGGAACAAAGCCTGTTGACATAGCGATAAAAGAGAGCAAGATCGCAGGCCGCCCGTTGGTGCGAAAGGGTCCCGAGACTGTGTGTTAGAGAAATATCATTGATCAGTCGAACAGGTCTCCTCTGAGCAGCATCGAGTATAGACAATGCGGTCAGGGCGACAGAACCTCAAACCATATAAGCGCTATGGCACTTCTTGTGAATAGTTGAGTTAACCTCGATTAGAACATAACCTAAACTTAACCCATTCTTCCAAGATTTTTAACTATGCCCTATTTCACGAGTATCTATCACGGTTGAATGACAGCTGAGTATCTAGTAATTCTTGAAAATTCCCCATATCGACACAGGTCATATAATTCTGTCGGATCCGTCAACGCCAGGTAGACAGAGCCGTATTTTGTTTTGGTTTTAATGCACGCTTCATATTTTGTACCTGCTATCAGCTCTTTTATTTAGAAAAGTTAATTTGCATACAAAAACAAAACGCCACAAACCAGTTTTACTAGATTTATACCACCCGATTCATTATTGCCAACTTTGCAGACTAACACAAAAATGTTACTGGCTGATCAGCTGTTCACCTCAGTAGACGTCAAAGCGTGATGGATACTCGTGACATAGGGTACATACTGCAGGGTATGTGATCACAACTTGAATTCGGTTTTGCACATAAACAAAATTAAATCTACGTAAAAGCTGCAAATGAGGAAAATCGCACTCAGCTGAGGTTGGTATGTTGATGCAGCGGTTGGGGTAAGAGGGGGAAAGAAATCTCAGCTCGCGTTTAAACAGAGTTTTGGTAAAAAGATCGTGCAATAAACTGGGCAAGTTGAAGTGAGTTGAGCGTATCTGAGATTATGTATAAGACGCAATTATGGTAAATTCAACCTCAAATTTTAAATTGACGGATTGTCAGCGCCACAGTGTCATATGATGCTACATGAGCTTGCATGATAGCACCTGAGCTCACGCGGATTGAAAATAATATTTCCGCCCTAAGTGTCTCGGTGTGCATTGTTTATGGCGAGCGAAGGTCATTCGCGCGGGATTGGCCATCGCAAAGATCAGGTGCGCCGGCAGAAATTCCTCTTAGGTGGAGGAGAAGGCTCATTTAATTTACTCAAATACATTTTCGAAGCTAACTTTTTTCTCAGAAGGGTTTACTTGTGCCAGTCATTATCCTTTACGAACAGATGACACTGTAGCGTGGGAATTGCAGAAGCAACTTACTTGGCGCTATTTTTTTCTTGTTAAAGCTCTGTATATTTTGTCTTTTTTAACTCATCCTATAAGGTGTTTTTTACGCAGGTGTTAGAGCGTGCCCTGGAATCAGCATCCCATGTCTTGCAACGTCAAGGCCGATGGGACGCTGCAGCGGAACGCATGCGTGACTCGCTGCGGGCCGTTGAATCATCCGGATCGCACGCGGTCAGGTTGAAAGCGGCGTGTCGATTGGCGGAAACGTTGCTACAAGCCTTGCCAGGGGACAAGTATAAGCCCCCGGGCACTGGAGTCGTAGGAAGGGTCACTGCCAGCGCTCCTGGATCGGCATGGAGACCTAGAAACTATGCGGCACATAACCAGGTACGAGAGATTTTAAAACAGTGCATAGTGGGCAATTCTTCATATTACTCTCATACACTTCGTTGTACAAAATGCCATTGTTACATTTATTATGAAGGTTGCGCACTCGACACTGTTGCCAAGGACTTGCATCAATATAGTCACTGAACCTGCTCGCCGTTACAAGGATATTTTTTGGTCAGTTAGTGGCACACTTTTTTTCAGTTTATACCTCGAAATGAATATGAAGAGACTCTCCTGGTGTTACTTATTGCCGAATCCATTGCTGTTAGGAATGCGGTCCTGTCCCAGTCTCCCGAATTCAAGGATGTGAGGATAAGCGCTTACAGGGACGCGGAAATGGTTTATGATCTTCTAACTGTAGCTACTGTCAGGTGGAATCAGATAGCTCTCCTACAAGAGGTATTTATTTTTTGTTTTGATTCGATTTATTTATTAAAGTTTCTAACTTTTGGGTGTCTGGACCCATAACCTAAAAAATGTATATCTCGACGTTTCCATTACTACCAAAGATTAACAGACGCTTTCAGTCTGATGAAAGGAAAAAATACGCAGTGATGGTAACTATTAAGTCTCGTTTTAGTCAAGTTTCTATCTTTTTGCTGCCTGGACCCACAACCTATAAAAATTTATGCCTCGATTTCCGTTAATATTAACGCACGCTTTCAGTCTGATGAAAGAGACGTTAGAAATTTTTATTAAACCTGTAGGCTGTAAATAATAGATAGGTCAAGTCAGGTGCATAGAAATTACAAAATTATATATATGAAAAAAGTCAGATTTACGATAAAATTGACAAACAACTCTTAAGTATAAACAATAAAATATAAATCACTGAGGTTACATGCCAACCAGAGGGATTTAAAATTTCTGTAGTTTTTTATGTGACAAATATATACTAGAAGATGTTGGAGAGGCGACATCTAACATTATCAGGCGACTTCATAAAGTACTATAGGTGTGATTGAACTTCTCTAGTATGGTTAAAGCCATTGATGAGGTATTTTTCTCTATTGTGATATACATGTATGTTGGATAATTGTAAAGATATATTGCTCTTACATTTAAACACATCCCGATAGAAGTCATTATGATTAAAATTGAATATGAGCCCCAGTATTCTTATTTGATGTATAAGTACTCTTGATATCTCTACTGAGTACCGAGTGTCTCAATACCACAATGTTATATGCAATAGAAGAATACATAAAATCATAGTACACCATGAATAGTAACTTACAATCGATGTTGTTTTTCGATGTGTTTAATACAAAGAGTACTTCGTTCAATTTTTTAGAGATTACCTTAATTTCTTGATTCCATGTAATGTCACTGTGCAGGGTAGTTCTTAGAAAAATAGCACATGATTCTTCTCGAATATACTCTCTAAAGAGAGAAATACGCAGTGATTGCAATTCTGGTCTTTGGAATATCACATTTTTTCTTTGCGTGATAAAAATTTTACTCTGACTTTGCATTTCAGTCCCTAGAAAGGTCGCTCAAATTCTCGTTCGAAGAAATACACCTATGGAAGCAATATGGCTTGAGTTTAATGGGCATAGGACATTTTGAGCATGCCTTGGCTGTACTCAAAGAAGTCATCAGATTGGAACCAAACGACGTTAGCAACTGTCTTTTAGCGGCAAAAATTTGCTACGAACATCTTAACTTACCGAAAGAAGGTAAATGTAATCCTGCTTTGGGTTCCTTTATATACCATTTAATGGACGAGTTATTTTTTGTAGGTACGAATTTTAGTGCTCAGGCTAGAGAAAAGGCCTTAACATCGCCTACCGGTTTATTGGGCAGGTGTCATTTGTACATCGGTATTGGTTATCATTTACAAACGGAAGCGTGTCAACTTAGGAGAGAAAAAGATGAGTTTAGATGTCAGGCGTTGGATAATTTCAGAACGTGAGTCCAAAAGTAAAAATTACGAAGTGTGTTTTTCTCCTCCAGGTGTCTTCACGTTTAGCGTTTCTCATGCCTGTTTTTATTTGATTTTAGGGCAATGGAACTTGATCCTAATGATCATCTAGCTCGTCACTACCTTGCCCTTCAGCTAGCCTTAACAGGAAAGGTGAGTGAACGATAATTTTGTCGATTGTTGCATTTTACAAGTTTTATTAAAAAAACGACTTGCATAATAATAAAATGACCATTTCAATTCTTTTACCCTTGCAGATAACTGAGGCTCGTCAGCAATCTCGGATGAGCCTAGATTTACGCCCGGAACATTCTCCTGCACTGCATCTTTTAGCCTTATTATTGACAGCCGAAAGGAGACATGCAAGTGCTTTGGCAGTTGTTGAGGATGCTTTAACAGATTATCCAGACAGTTTGAATCTCATGTACATTAAAGCGTACCTGGAGTTACACGAGAAAGGAGCAGAAGTAAATTTTAAATGTATTCTTGTATTTCATATTTTACTTATATGTTGTTTGACTTGCAGAAAGCTCTAACGGCTGCCAAGCAGATGCTGGAGCTGTGGAAAAACTTGTATGAAGGCCAAATTGTCTCAGACATGCCCGAATGCGATAGAAAAAGTGATACTAGGTCCGTCTTCCAATTGTACACGTCTGAGATGTCTGATAAAGATTCCAGTAAGTATTTAATTTGATGGCGTCTGTTTTGTATATCATTCATTATTTAAATTTATACAATCAAGGGAGCATTTAAATGTTATAAATGTCTTATTAACATTGAAAGTCAAGTAATTGTTGTTACTCTATTTTTTTGATCGATTGAATATCACTATCAATGTTTGTCTTAATTTCATTTATATCTGTATTTTGCCAAAGTACTGTATCGTTAGCAAAAACTATGAATTTACCATTTATCTTTAAGTTTATTAAATCATTGATATAGATTAAGAATAGGGTCGGTTCCAAAACTGAATCTTGAGGTCCCCCGCATTTATATTTAATTTATTTGAAATATAATGTCTTAATAATTTTACAATTTGTAATCGATTATTTAAATATGTTTTAAAGTAACTGAGTGAAATTTCGGCACCACCATATTTGTTTAATTTTTTAATATTATATCATGATTTGCACAGAAAAAACTTCGGAAAAATCGCAAAAAAGCTATTGAGATTTGTTTATTGTTTAAATATGAGTATAACTGTTGGTAGTAATGTGAAAATAACATCCATGGTATTTTTATGTTTTTGAAAACCAAATTTGTTGTCACTTATAATTTTTTTGCTTTTTAGGAAATCTCTTAATCTGATTTGAACTATTTTTTCTATTATTTTTGCTATAACAGTGATTAAACCATGATTAAACTTATGGGTCTTTAATTTTCTGGTAACCTGCTTGGACCTCCTTTATAAATAGGAATAACTATTGGTGTTTTTAAAAATTTTGGGTAAACCCCTGTGTTAAGAGGTATGCGAGAATTACGAATGCATATTGAGACGTTGTTTTCATAACGAAATCATAGAATCATCTAACTTAGCGAACTAGTGGAATTAGAAAGTTGTTCAGTTCATGGATACTAAAGATAAACAACTTGTTTTAGGTTCTCTACATTTCCATGACACTGCTGCTTCTCGCGTAGAACGCGCCCTCAGCGAGGTTGCCAGTTCGCTGAGCGGTCTCGGTCCTAGGCCCGGACCTAGACGAGCCTGGCAATTGCAACTGGAAATTTGGTTGCTTCTGGCTGAAATGTACGCTGCAGCTGAAAGACTACAGGACGTTGCAGCTTGTATTTCCGAAGCGGAACAGATTTATCCTGCAAGTCATCATGTCATGCATATGGTAAGTAGGATGAAACTCTTGACTGAGGCGGGGATGTCAACGATTGAAAATTGGAGAGCGGATGAGGGGGTGACATTGGCGTTGCTTGTGAAAATTGAAGTGCGGGGCTGGTATATATTTTCACAATTCGGGTCTAGAAAGGTAATTTTAGCACCAAGATATATCAATTTATACCATTTTATTGAAAAAAAAAAAATTAATGCTTAGGCGTCCGCCTCTGCTGCGCTCTCGACTGCGACAGAAGTTTGGCAATTTATTTAGCAACACAAAATACAGGTTCCACAATACTCACAATGCAAGATAGAAAAATGCACAAACGATGTTTTTTTGTGTGGTAGGGATGGTGAAATTAATAAAAAATTGTTTCTAGAAAGGAGTACTTCATATGCTCAAGCAAGAATGGCCAGATGCAAAGTTATGCTACCAGAACGCTGTTGGAATAAATCCTCTTCACGTGAAGTCATTGCAAGAATTAGGACTTGTGTACCACTATCTAGGACTTCAGGGATTGGCCGAGACTACTCTCCGAGAGGCGGCCAAGATTGAGCCGAAAAATCACGTAACCTGGTAAACTATAAATTAATCTTTCAGTCCAAACATAAAACTGAACGTTGTAGGATAAATGCGCACTCGAATTTTCGTGTTTGGTTGAACATGATAACTTAGCCTTTTTCACAAAACTATGTCATTGCATATACAACAGCAAAGCAACACCCTAAGGCACTGTCCTCAGCAAAAGCAACTGATTGGCTGAGGTTCTGGAAAAAAATGCTATGTATTTATTTGCTAGTAAGACAGGGGAATATAGACAATTTTGATCCTAAAGTAACTTGATTCAAAGGAAATCGGATAAGTAACGAATTTCACAAATTAATCCTGGTCACATCAGTCAATGAACATATGTGGTATTTTGTTTATCAGAAACTGCCAATACGTTAATATAATGTGGAATGATCAATCTGCGGAAAGAAACATCGTGTACGCAAACATATTCCTTGAGTATGTACTCTGAACTATCAATATATTTTTTTTTGAGAATACGACCGGAACGTTAGCTGACGTGTCACAATGACGTCTACAAATACATATTTTTGTCTTATCTTGTTGCCGTCGACTCAACGTGGCAGTTGCTTTTGGTGACAACAGTCGCTAAATCTTTGACCGAACCGCTATGGTCTTAAGAGCTCGACTTTGAAACCAGACATTTACGACACATGTTTATATGAATTTTTCTACATAGATTTTGTCCAGGAATACGTCCTTTTAATTTTACGGCCTATCATTAAGTAATGCCCTGTATACTTTGAAAAGATTAGTGTCTCTGAGATGGCGCTGTCTACATGAGCATATGCAAGCATAGAGCGCCATCTTTGGGACCACTAACATTTTCATCGTACGTAGAGGCTGTTCCAGAAATCGATGTCAAGCCGGAAACGGAGGATAGGTCAAGTCAGACAAATAGAAAAAAAACAAGTTGTGTAATTTTCAAATTATAGTTAAAAAAAAATCGGAAAAATCTACACCCCGTGATGATTTTTTAGTTTCCATTTCTAGCAATTTTGTTTTTTTCATAGACTGAGTGACAAACAGTGCCATTCTACGTAGTGACAGCAAGACAGATAGTATCGCAACTTTTATTAATCCGTGAATGTACTTATTAAATTCACAATAAATGTCTTCCTTCAGCAGCAATGCAAGCTTGACATCTTAAAAATGATCGGGTTATCAGGCCGGCGAATTTTCCGTTATTAATCAAATTCCCTTATTCTGTCAAGTAGCTCAGCTCTATATTTTCGATTAGCTTTGAGTAAAATTTTTCTTTCACCGCTCCTCAGTAAACAAGTTGAAGCAGATTTAAGTCAGGTGAACGGGAAATTGTACCAGACTGTCCTATCCGTCTGCTCGGGTATTCCACATCAAGATATCCTCTAATTAAATGGGCATAGTGCGCCGGGCAGCAGTCTTGCTGATGTCTCTGTAAATGGCACGTCTTTCAATAGATTTGTTAAATGATTTTGTAAAAAGTCTAAATAAATTTCGCCATTCAAGAACTCGGGCAGCTCAAAGGGTACAATCATTCTCCTATTTAGAATCTCGGTCCACGTGTTTACTTTAAAACGATACTGTGATCTCTATCTTGTCTCATCAGTTGTTGATTTTCTACGTTGCCACTCGTGTACGTTGTGTAGATTCATGTAACTATCTTTCTTAAATGTCATCTCATCAATCCATAAATTTGTTTCTAAAAATCGCGGATCTTCCCGGAGTCTCTAAGATTGTTTGACAAAACTCAACTCTTGGAAGATAATCCCGAGGTTGTACTCGCTGTTGCTCCGGGTGGAGCTCGTTCTTTTGGGCACTCCCCCTTGGTTTTATTCGACGTATTCGGGTCTTCCTCGACTGCTGGTAGTACGTCCTCGTAAGGAAAGGAAATTTTTCCTTAACCATGTTCTTCATTTGGGAATCGTCCCTCTGAGAGTAAACGGTACATATTCACAAAAACTCGGTGATGAGATGACGAGCAGCATTTGGGTACCTTTCACGTTAAAGCCTAGCTGCAGCACTAGCATTGCATCTACATTCCCCATAACTGAGGTGCATATTGGCGTATTCCTGTACGGTGTAAACAGGTTACTGTCTGCCGTGCTGTCACTACGTAGAATGACGCTGTCCGCCACTCTGTATGAGAAAAAAATGCAATTTGTAGTAACGGGTAGTTTGATCAGCTCGTCTGTTTACTAGTCCTTTTTGCAGGGAATTCATGTTGTTTCTTCATTTTTAATTTTTTCTCTTTGTATTATTACTATTATTATTATTAATTGATTTCTTATTTCGGCGGTCTAGTAATTTCCTCAAAAATATAAAAGTTTAATTTTTCACTGTACTAGGTAGTTATAACGGGTGATTTTTTTAGAGGTATAGGATTTGATTTTTAAAAAAAAAAACAAAAAAATTGAAAAAGCGATTAAATCTTTATTTGAGTCGATAGAACGGTCGATATAATTTAATGTTTAAAGATTATTTCATGTAAATGTTGGCCGCGGCTCCGCTTTAGATGGCCCATGCGCAAGGTCCAATTTTGGCACACTCTCTCCAACATATCGGCCGGTATCTCACGAACAAATGCTTCAATATTGGCTTCCCGTGCGTCAGTCATTGCTGGTTTATCCCTGTGGACATTAGCCTTAACATGGCCCCGCAAGAAATAGTCCTACGGCGTTAAATCACACGATCTAGGCGGCCAATTGACGGGCCCCAAATGTGAGATAAACTGTTCACCGAACTCGCCTCTCAATAGGGCCATTGTTTCGTGTGCGGTGTGGCATGTGGCACCGTCTTGTTGAAACCACATGTCAGCCAAGTCCAGCTTTTCCATTTTGGCCAAAAAAAAGTTTGTTATCATCGCACGGTAGCGCTCGCCATTCACAGTTACGTTCCGGCCATTGTCGTCTTTGAAGAAGTACGGCCCGATGATGCCACCGGCCCATAATCCACACCAAACAGTGATTTTTTCGGGATGCATTGGTAGCTCTTGCAATGCTTCTGGCTGGTCTTCACTCCAGATGCGGCAATTTTGCTTGTTAACGTACCCATTCAACCAGAAATGAGCTTCGCCGCTGAACACAATTTTTCGATAAAAATGTGGATCTTCCTCCAACTTTGCCAGCGCCCATTCATCAAATGGGAAACGTTGTGGGAGGTCGTGTGGCTTCAATTCTTGCACCAGCTGTATCTTATAAGGTTTTACACCCAAATCCTGTCGCAAAATTTTCCACGTAGTGGAGTAACAGAGGCCCAATTGCTGCGAACGGCGGCGAATCGACATTTCACGATCATCACTAACACTGGCGGCTACAGCCGCAATATTTTCTTCAGTCCTCACTCTACGACTGCGTGTTGGTGGTTTAATGTCCAATAATGTAAACTGGATGCGAAATTTAGTCACAAGCTTCCGAATAGCTCCCTCAGTAGGTCGACCAAGTTGCCCATAAATTGGAAGCAGTGCTCGATGCACTCTCTTAACCGAGCATGAATTTTGATAGTAAAATTCAATAATTTGTTTGACAATGACACAAGACACGATTCACGCGTCATCTGTCAAAAGCAGTGTTGCCAAAAAGATACTAGCAAAAAAATCACCCATTAGAAGATCATCACAAGGTGTGGTTTTTTCGATTTTTTAAAGCCTGTAATTTGGAAAGATACGACTTAGTTTTTTATATTTTTCTGATAACTATTATGACTTGACCTATCCCCCATTTCCGGCTTGACGTCGACTTTAGGGGACGCCCTGTAAATGCTGCGACTATAATGTAATGACGTTTCAGGTACAATTTGGGCAAAGTATTGGAAGCACTCGGTGAGTACGAAAAAGCAAGCAGTGCGATGGCAACAGCCCTTATGGAGGAGAAAAACAGTCCTATTCTTCCATTCAATTCAGTTCCACTTTGTTTCGAATAGTGGTTTATCTTAACATGGCATTTAATATTGTTGAATTGGCATTTAATATTGTTAGCCTTTACATATGACAACTCTTTTATTGATGTTTTGGTGAGGGAGGATAATTGTGTAATATTTGATCTTTGAATCACTGTTCTTCCTGAAATGAAACCTTTTAGATTAGTTTCTCATGATAGTTACCCAATATTTACAAATAACGGTTAAGTAAATTCATTGTGAAGTAGATCTTTACGAATAATTACGTTGTTCTAAGAATTCCAAACCATAAACATGTCTTTTTAGTGAACAGTTCGATTTGTTAAATATTTTGGTCCCTAACGGTAACTAAATTGACCAGTGCATGGTGTGGTGGTTATTATTATTGGCAATAAATCCCTAACATGTGAATACCTTATAGTATAATCATATTAACAAATTTTCTCAAAATAATTGTAAAGTTTGGTTTTATTGGTGCAAGTTGTTCAAGGGGGTATTTAAAACATGGACGCATAAAATGGGTACACCAATTTTTGCGAGAAAATTTTTTATTTGACAAAGAATGAGAAAACGTGTTTTTTGGCGATTCAATCGAAAGTGTTGACAGGAACGAAAAACTGTTTATATAAGGTTTTTAGGTATTTATGAGAGCTACAGAGTCCACAAAAATCTTATATGAAGAGTTTTTTCGTTCTTGCCACCACTTTCGATTGAATCCCAAAAAATACGTTTGCTCATTCTTTGTTGTCGAATAAATAGTTTTCCGACAAAAATTAGTGTACCCATTTTATGCGTCCATGTTTTAAATACCCCCTTGAACAACTTGCAGCAATAAAACCAGATTTTACAGTTATTTCGCAAAACAGGGGTGTTTTCGTGTAATATCACTTGACCTCCATAAGACACATACTGAATAAAATTGGTTATTTCCATCAAATAAAGGGTTGTGAAAGCAACCATGTTGTCAACTATAAAAATAATTATTTATTTATTTATTTGGATGACAACGAGTCATCTATATGTTTTTAACATAGCCCTAATCAAGAAAAAATCGTATACATTTTAAAAGCAGCATTTTTATCTAAATAAATTATTACTCAGTGTCAGCGAAAAACTCTCGTTTCATGTTGACAAAGGTGTTGTGTTACTAGGCTATTACTGGTGATATAATGGTTACTTATTCTATATTATAAGATTTTTGTTATTTATGTACAGATGTTTTTAATAATTTATATTTTATGTTGAATATATTTTTTGTCATTTTTGTTGCACATTTTCTATAACCTCGTTAATGATTTCACATTCCCATCGCAGAAGAACGCAACATAAAAACACGTGGTATAATATCTTTGAGCGCTACATAAAGAAAAAAATAAGGTCAAAAGAATATATATTTGTTTGCACATTAAATCACAATAAGACACTTATTAGACTACAAAATAACAAAAACCCTTATCGAGTCACATTATAAAAATTATAATCAAAATATACAAAAATGGAATAATTAAAAATTCTAATAAAAAACTCAATAAAACCTAAACTAGCGAAACCGATAAGAAAAAATTATTTTCTCTAGGCTGTCAAGTATATATTTCTTGACCCAAGAGGTGAATGTTGACATCCGACAATTTTAGAAATATCACAGTTTACCAGAATTTCCGAAAATAGATTTGTTAATGTACTATTTTCAAGACGGATGTTTTGATATAGAACGAAATAATTTATATTGAAAATTTTGTGGATTCTTTTCTTGTGGTATATCTACTATACGTCCAAAAGGTGACATGCAATTTTGGTAGGGGTGAAATATATACAGAAATAATCCAATATTGGGATACTATAAGAATTCATCCAAGTACTCTTATACTGATATTTAATGAAATATATTAACAAATATCTGCAATACTACCGAGTCATAATGGTATAGAAAAACTGTCGGTAATAAAATGCACAAATATGAACGAATCACGCTGTCCAAAATCAAATAATTGTCATTATTTATTGTTCAGGTACATTATTTATAATTCAAATTTGTTCTCAATAAAAAGATGAGATAGGGGTAACATGTACCTTGTGATGTTATAGAGATCAATTATTTTTATAAAGGTATTTTGATAGCACCATAATTAAAAGTATAAAATTCTATTATGCTCAACAATAATTATTGTAATCACATTCCAAGAAAATATTTTTCTCCATATTACCTTGGTCAATACGTGGAACTACCGATTTTGGATTAATTACTTTATTGGTGTTTTGGCTGTAAGATGACATTTCAGTACAAAGTCAAGAAATGTAAAATGTTATATTTTATTCATTTTCACGAAAACGTAAAATAAATTGTATCTTATTTCTTTTTTCACTTTGTTTTTCGAAAGCATGGTACCTGCAGTATAAGGTAAAAAATTAAAATAAGTTTCATGTTGTTCATCATTTTAAAAAAAAATGTGAAACAAATTGTATATCATTTTACTTTTTCACTTTATTCTTTGAAAACGGTAAAAAAATGTAAAATAAATCTTATTTTGTTCTTCATTTTTGTCAAAATGTAAAATAAATTGCATTTTATTTTTATTTTTTGCTTTATTCTTTGATAAAGGCTACCGGGTCAGTCAAAATACCATGAAATAATTCATTCAATACGGTGGTTCCATTCATTGGCTATAAAAATATGGAGACTACCGCAACATGATTTTCAAAAGCTGCGTTTGGCGCATTCAGGTAGTGACAGCAATGTAACGATCCACGGAAGCGTCCATTTGACTCAAATGGTCGCTGACATATGACGTTTCAGTGCTATCGTTTTCTTGATGCGCTCAATAACAAATGGAATACATGGAAAGAACAGAAAGTCTGTTCCAGTCATCACTCACCGCCATGATACCTTTAAAAAAAAAAATTTTGGCACGCACATTGAGCACAATTCACGACATCGTTCAATCCCGTCACCCACTTTTCATCAACGGAGTCTCTAACAGTTGAGTCGTCTGCTTTTTCTCATTCACTACTAAATTCAACGGGTGATTTCTCAACAACCCAACGTCTAAAGGCACTGGAGGAGTGCTGAGAGGAGGCCCCATCGGCTGAAGATGGAACTTGCTGTCTAACTTTGACATCGCCTTAGCATGTCGCTGGTTGCGAAGCGCTCCTGTTTCAGTCTTGTGAGGTAATGCATACCTAGAAAGAGACTCTTGGTACCAAACCTTAAGGAAGTAAGCAAATTAACCAATCAGAACCCAAGTCTGAAGTAGGGTTAGATATACCAGGTGTATCAGAAGTAACGGAGCGGCTCTGCATTTTTCGGATATTTTTTAAAAAGGTCAAGATCAGAAGTCTCTACTAACTTTGAACAAGGAGTTCGATGGTAACCTTGGATTTGGCCTTTCACCTCACTTTCAATGCTATTTCGAGTCCAACTTTTGTATTTTAATGGAAAGCCCCCTTGTTGGTACCGGCAATCAAAAGAATGGAAAATTGTTAATCCCAGTATGTGTTAAAATCTAAGATCAGGGACACCTTTAAAGGTTGAGTGAAGGTCAAATGCGTGAGGCCGGGAAAAATTGATAGAAGTTTAGCAAGATTATTGATGAAAATCAAGGTAAACTTTCAATAAAGATTCCAAAATTTACCTTGAATTTAAACATTTAGCCTCACCTTCCAGGTCCAAATAGTGTTTGGGAACATATATGAACCTACAATTATCCATTGCTGGTGTCAAAGAGACGGGTAACGAGCTATAAAAAAGTTGAGCTTGAAATGGGTTAAATCAAAGGTCACCATTTGAAACTTTGTTAAAAGTTACTGAACAAAAAATATTTCTGCTAAACATCTAGAAAATTTTCCTAGTTGTACCCATTAGACCTTCAGAGGTACTTTCGATTACCAGTGTCAAGAAGGAAACCTTCCATTCAAAAAAAAAGTTGACCTTGACATTTCATTAAATATCAAATCCAAGGCCAATATCGAACTACTTGTCCAAAGTCAGTATATACCGAACCTCGAACTTTTTAGAAAATATGTTACCTGCAAAAGTGCAGAGCCGTTCCTTTACTTTCGTTACGCTCGGTATACTCTCATAAAAATGGAGTCAATTAGATTGAACTTCCCTCGCATTGATATAAATCTAAACATGTTAGCGTTAGTGATAAGTAAAATATGAGAAATGCCGGTTATCATATTTTTTTTGACAACGCCTTCAAGACAGTCGACGAAATTTCGAATTTTTTCTATAACGCTTCCAAAATAAGATCAAAAGCTCAATAAAATAAAGTGTTGTCTATTCAAAAGACTCAAATGGAGTGAACATTTATTCACTTAAGTAGGGTATTTTGTAAGTCTCATTTTAAACTATAGGGAATAAATTTATCGTATATACAGTAATGGACAAAAGTATATAGACAAATTAATATTGTGCTGAATTTCTTTTTTAACTTGTTTTATTAATACACCAACCTATATACATAATTCGTTATAGCGTAATAGTCACTTATACATAAATAAATTCATTAGACTCCCTTGAATAAAAAATTAATTGAAAAAAACTGGAACTATGAAGGACAAAAATATATAGACAAAGCAAAACAACTATAGAAAAAAGAAGCAAAGTTCACTGAATTATAGAAAACCAACCATGTTTGTGTTAATATTTTGTAGCATGACCATTATTATCAATCACCGCGTGGCATCATCTCGGCATAGATTGTAGAAGTTTCTTGATATAAGATTCAGCAATCTGTCTCCACTTTTGTTCTAAAGCGGCAAAAATTTCATCTTTGTTTGAATAATTTTTATCTCATATTTGCTTATCTAAGTATTTCCATAGATTTTCAAAGGGGTTTATATCGGGAGACTGTGAAGGTCATTTGAGAACTGGTATTTTTTCATCCAGAAATAATTTCTTTGCGAGAATTGAAGTGTGCTTCGGGTCATTATCTTGCTGGAAGATTGATCTTAAGGGCATATTGTCTTCCATATAGTGTAACATGACATGCTTTAGTATGTCTGTGAATACAAACTTATCCATAATGCCATCTATTCTATGTAAAGGTCCCATCCCAAACCTCAAAAAGCACCCCCAAACCATAACAGACCCGCTCCATATTTGACAGTGGGCAAAGTGTACTTGGGGCTCAATCTTTCTCCACTAGGACGTCTAACGTAATGAACCCCATCTGATCTATACATATTGAACTTGGATTCGTCACTAAAACATGCCCTCTTCCAGTCACGGTTGCTCCAATCAAGATGCAACCGTGCAAATTGTAATCGTTCCTTACGGTTTTGCCTCGAGTTTAGCGGCTTCTTACTCGGGCGACGTGCAAATAACATCAAATCATTTAATCTTCTACTCGTACTTACAGTTTTCGTAGAAACACTGGCAATTCCTTTTGTCTCGATTTCGGCTTTTATTTGTCTTGGGGTTTTAAACGGATCTTTGGACGAAATTACTTTTATTAATCTAACTGATCTAGCATGTAGTTTTCTAGGCCGACCACTTCTCTTAGAGGTTTCCAAGATACCTTTTTATTTATATTTGTTCAATATTGACCAAACTGCTTTACGCTTCAGCTTCAAATTTTTGGCAATGTCGACTTGACGTTGACCATCTTTGTAAAACTCATGATCTTAGTTTTCATATCGAAAGAAATTTCTTGACCACGCGGCATGGTCAAATCACTCAACTTATTCTACAATACTTGATGAACACAAACTAATCCTCTTCTGACACGAAACTGTACTAAACTAATGTTGAAAAGAATTTGTCTACATATTTTTGTCCATCATAAAAAAGTGCTTATATTCAGACTTGTATGTTCATTGCAGATAATGTTAAAACAAGGAATTTAGTTTTTCTACTAATAACGCATTTTTTTATGGAGCAATGAAGTATGAATTCGTTTTCTAAAGGTATTTAGGTAAATATTCATATTTGTCTATATAGTTTTGTCCGTTACTGTACATATTTAATAGCAAAGTATGGAACACGGTCTATTATGTTTAAAAGGTGTCAAGTATTGTTGGGACGAGAAGTTCAATAGAACGTTTTTCACTGATAGATGAAGATGCAACATTTACAATCCCCAACATATAACACCTCCAAAAAATTTCTGAAAATGAGCAGGAGCCTCTGAGACGTTGAGAAACAGAGTTTCAGCGGTTTTTTTTCAGAGTTTTGAAAACCCATAAATCATAAAGGTTTTTCATCCTTGGCATAGAAGTTACCTTGTAAAGTCGCGAGCGATACTTTCTCAGTAACAGATGACAGACTGAGGGAAATAGATGGTATAATTTTCCGTAATATACATTTCATGTAACATCAAGAAAAATTATATCTCATAGGTACAACATCGTTCGCATTTGCAACACTTCTTCGCTAATTGAGGTGAAACGTAAAACACAATCTCAAAAATACTTTGTCAAAATAGCAAACCAAAATTACCTCAACTTGTTCCAGAACCACGGTTTTCCCCACTCCACGTAAGTGTTAGTTTTGATATACGCCTTAAAATCAACATCCAGTTTTGCCTCATCCAATTCTCCATATTTGACCACTATAACTTTGACGCGGCCCTCCTCAATAGCGTTTTGATGGGCCATTCGGAATTCCAATTTGCCCCAGTCACTCTCCAGGAAGTTATTCGAAAGTACTACTAGGGTACGCCGGGAGTCCATCACAGATTTCACCACCTGAAAAGAAGATATCGAGTTAGATAATATGAAAAAATTGAAGGAATATAAAAGGTCCGAGTTACATTGCCTCAAATTCACACACTGTGGTCATGGCGTCTAGCAACCATGTCAAATACATTGACGGTTGGTCAAATAAGCAATTTGAGGTTAGACAAAATTTGCGTTTCAAGTAAACATTTATATTAAATCATGTAATATTCTCCTTATAACACTAAAACTTACAGGTTTTGAGAACGTTTTCATAAAGCGGGGAGCACTTGCGAAAAGTGTGATTATAAGACTATATATTTAAACAGAAGTTATTCTCAAAACCAGTAAGTTATCACAGCTATTTAATTTTAGGGCCCTGCGCGAAATCTTATACGACTTAGTTCAGTAACAAAGTAACAAAAAAGAAACGACAGGTCGACTGCCGCACCGTTTCCTGTTTCCATAATGCAAAACTTGAATTATTCGCTAGACGTTAAGCTGTTTATAAACAGGAATTTCGCAACGTTGACGCTATACTTGACGAAGTTTTATCTTACTGTCGTTGCCGTTTCCGATTCAACCAATGAAAGGGAACTTGCACATGACGTATTTGTTACGACCGATCAGCTGGTTTTTCGCTTTGTTTGATATGACATATATTTTGTTTCGCTTTTGTAATCAGAGTGACTTCCTTTGAGATTGTTTGCTATATTTTATTTAGTTTATTTAAATAATAATATCAGGATATGTGTGTTACAAGTGATGAAGATGCTGCACCTGATCTGCAGACTAGTTTGGTCTTCTAATATGTGAAAAAGAATGCAATTTTTCAGTTAGTGGCGCCGTAGTAGTTGTTTAATACACATATGTCCAATTCAGCATTTAGCAAGGGTTTTAGATGACATCATTGCTTCGCTTGATAAGGGAGATGCTTCAGCACTTGTATCATTAGATTATTCTAAGGCGTTCGATAAAATAGATCATGAGCTTTTATGTGCTAAATTGAAGTTTTTTGGTTTTCCAGACATACCTCTAATGTTTTTTATAACATATATTTCAAATCGTAAACAAGTAGTAGAGATAGACAACACTATATCTAGTCCGATTGATATAACATCAGGTGTCCCTCAGGGTTCAGTTTTAGGGCCCTTGTTGTACTTAATTTATACTATAGAGTTGGGTAGCTCTGTGAAAAACTCTTTTGTGATGTGCTATGCCGATGATACACAGATATATAAGAGCTTTAATAGTAACACTTTACATACTTCAATCAATGAGCTTAATGATGATTTGGAGGCAATAGTAGGATACTCAAATGGTAACAATCTTAAGCTCAATAAGGATAAGTGCTCAGTGACGCTTTTTTGTCCTGCTGTCAAACGTAACACTATATTGAATTCTCTTGATGTAAAAATCGACAAGGAGCGTCTAGCTGTCGTAAATACTACAAAAAATTAAGGGTTGATTATTGATTATACTTTACGGTTTAAGGAGCATGTTTCGTCTATCTTAAAAAAATGTTATGCAACTTTGAAGTGTTTTTATGTCAATCGCTCTATTTTGAATTTTAAAGTTAGAAAAAAGTTATGCGAGGCTATTATATTTCCAAGCTTATTTTACTGTAGCACTGGGTTCTATCATTGTCTTGATTCTATCACAAAAGCAAGACTCCAAAAACTCCAAAATACTTGTTGTCGATTTGTATTTAATCTCAAGAAGTATGATCATGTTTCCTTAAAGAGATTTCAGCTTGGTTGGATGTGTATAGAAAATGCTTGCAAGTACCATATAGCAGTGTTTACACATAAGATCATATCTTCTCGATCTCCCTTGTATCTTTATGAGAAATTTGTTTTCAGACGAAATAATTCTGACATTGATTTCAGACACAAAAAAAGACTAGAGATCCCTATGTATAAAACAACTTTATTTCGTAGTTCATACACTTACAATGCTATCCTGATTTATAACGAATTAGATGACAATATAAAGGATTGGCCAGTAAACAGATTTCGTAAGCATGTGAAACAGATTTATTTGTCATTGTAGTAATTGTGGAAAAGTTAGTTTTTAATTCTTATATTTTATTTTATTTTTACGTAATATATGTGTGTATATATTATGTATGTCAGGAAGCTATCAAGCTCATTGTTTTGAAGCGTCTTTTGCTGCTTGTCAAAGTTTCCTTTGATTAAGTATTTCAATTTATAGTTTGGGTAGGTTAAGTAGAGTAGCCAAGAGCTAGACTTCGCCTACGTAGAGGTCACATTATGTTGTAGTTTATATAATGTGCCTAATAAAGACATTTTATTATTATTATTATTATTTCATTTCACAAATATTCAAGATACAAACACCAGTTACATATCAGCGACACTGTACATTGAGTATAACTGCCGACGGCAGCGTGATATAACGGTACGCTAGAATTACGACAATGTCAGAGTTTATAAATCGATCTATATCCTTGAAATTCGAATTTTTTCTAACCTCAAATTGATAATACGATCAATCGTCGGTGCATTTGGTTGTCAGTTATCTAGGCAGCTTGGCCTTAACATAAGCAATCAACGTATTAGAGCAACGGTAAAAGAACAACCAAAACTAACCTGTTCTGCAATGTAGTCGCCAGGTACCCAGTCCCTGATATGTATGCAGGTTTTGAATGGATTTGGCCCAGATTCCAAGCCAGGCAACAAGTGGTCCACGATAAAATCTTCGTCCTTTTGAGAATAACTGATAAAGATATCGTACTTCTTATCTTTATCCAGTTCTTCTTCGGTGACAAACCAAAGACAGAGGTTTTTGCTGAACAGCCAAACTTTGATTTCATGGTTATACTTGTAGTAAATTACTGCTGCAAGGGCTAAGAATAATAGTAACACCAGCACAGGTACAGCGATTTGGATCAAGATGTGAAGAGTTGGCTTGCATAGCTGTTGGTTGATCAGCGGTTTTGAGGTTTCGGCACAGAGAATCGTGTTCGTCTTCACCTACAAAAAAATGAGTCAAATAGAGTGTCTCAATACTTCCCACGGGATGATATAAATATATGTACGTACAATTTTGAATGCAAGACAATTCTAAGCGGCATTAGTAAATACATATTTTATTCATGTAGATCCCTATATTTATTTTAATTGAAATATTTAAAGCTGCAATCCCACTAACGTTGATTTTGGCGCGCATCGCAGTGACGTCATAACTCATAATATGTCATTTGACTGTATTTTTAGTTGGGTTACTGTCGAGTATTAGACATACCCTGTGATTACAAAGTATTCTTAGGTTATGGTTATTACTGCCAATTACAGTGAAAAGCTAAAAACATGCCAGGTGGACAACCAATGATCGTGAGAACAAACGCCTGCCAATTTAAAACGGGCAGATTAATAAACAAAGACTTGTCTGGCCACAAGTCGAAAATGGTGACGTCACGCCACTCGCGTTGCGTTTCGACGTTTTAAATTTATAACGTGCTTTTTCCAATTTGTATTAACCCATTTGGTCCCAGTGGTGCGCTTACGCACCGCCAATTTTATGATTTTTTTCCCGGATAGTTCCTTGTTCTGACTGCTTAATACGTGTAGTTTGAGATAATCTGTTGCTACTGTATCCAAATTTAATTTGTTTTTGACCTTGACAGCAAAGGGAAAAAAATGGCGGTGGTTTTTGACATGAATATTATATTTGGTTCCGTAAAACATGTCTAAAATTCAATGAATTATGGTTTAGACTCATTTTTTCCTATAATTACCTGTAAATAGTGGAAAAGAAACTTATGTGGTCTGTATGTTGTTTGTCAAAAGTTTGGCTTCGATCTTATAATTGAAGTTATACAAGAGGAAACTTTGTTGGTGTGTTTGTGCACCATTGGTTTTATCAGTTAAGTATTTTCCTGTTCAGACAAGCGAGAACTTGACGTACGCAGTACGCATTTGCAGGTGTTTACGTTAGTTGCGTTTTAGTTGTGTTTAGTGCATACCATCGAGATATGTGCATACATCCATCTTAAGAATGTCATTTCGAAGATTTCTGACTCAAAGTGAATTGGAAGCTGCCGTTGAAGAAGCTGGACAAGAACTGTACAACTACAGAAAAGGTTTGTGTGCGAAAACTCCTAACCTAACCTCATTTGAATCCCTTTTATTTTTGCGTAGGTGCTCTTGATGCTGTTTACATACCTCCAGATGTAGACAATGTAACTGACGAGGAGGATGTAGAAGATGAGCTACTACCCGAAATTGATGTACCAGGTCCTTCAGACATTGCTGGTACATTTGAACCCCACGCATTTATGAATGAAGATGATGCTGCTGAAATCCCAAACAAAGAGGAAGCCATTTTTTTTGACGATGATGGATTCGATACTTCCGATGATGAGTTTTTGGCGTCAAAAAAATATTGCGACTGGTACCTCCCCCCGTGCCAGTCACATCCACAACTTTTGCTGTGCCGCCCCTCCAGCCAAAGTGGGAAAAGGGTCCACTGGAGTACACTCAATCATCCATCAGCAACGAAGACATTGATATGGAGCATTTAAAGAATGTACTGGCTGGAAAAACGCCATTAGAGATGTTTTTTTCTTTTCTTTGATGATGATTTGATAAATTTGATTTTAGATTTTTCTCTGAAATACGCCCAACAAAACAACAGACATGGATTTTGTTTGTCCAAAGGAGAACTTCTGAACTTCCTAGGCATTATGCAGTTTTCTGGGTATCACACCTTGCCGCAAGTTCCGCTCTATTGGTCAAACGAGGAGGACAAGGGGATAGACATAGTGAAAAAGTGCATGAGTCGGAATAGATTCCAAGCCATAAAGCGAAACATACATTTATCTGATAATAGTAATTTAGATAAGGATGATAAATTTTCTAAGCTTCGTCCATATTTAGACGCTGTAAATAAAAAAAATATGCAGTGGGGCGTATTTGCACACAATTTATCAATTGACGAACAGATGGTTCCTTATTTCGGTAGGCATTCTTGCAAAATGTTTTTAAAAGGCAAGCCAGTTCGATTTGGATTCAAGCAGTGGTGTTTATGTTCGTCAGATGGATATTTATTCTATTCTATTCCATATGCAGGAGCAATCGCTAACAAAGAAAGGACGTCATTGGGACTTGGTGGTGAAATCGTCAACAATTTACTTGCCAACGTGGATTATCCTGCTAGACATAATATTTTCTTTGACAACTTCTTTTCTTCATATCAACTCCTAGTTGACCTGAAGAACAAAGGTTTTTATGCCACAGGAACTATAAGAAGTAATCGAACAGGACACTGTCCGCTAGTTGAACCAAAAATCATGTCCAAGCGAGAACGAGGAGCGTATGATTGCGCGTATGACAAAAATAACAAAATTTCAATGGTTCGTTCAATGCTATAGTTACCATTTGTAGCAATGTATACAATGTTGAGCCTATAAACCAAGTCCGCCGATACAACAGGAAAGAAAAAAGAGAAATTCATGTACAGCAACCAAACGTCATTGCTAGGTACAATCGCTGTATGGGAGGTGTCGATCTTCGCGATAATGGCATTGCAAACTACAGAATTAGAGTCATGGGAAAGAAATGGTGGTGGCCCATATTTTGTAATTCAATCGACAGTATCATCGTTAATTGCTGGAAACTTTATAATTCCGTAAATCAGAACAAAATTTCCCAATTGGATTTCAAATCCTACGTAGCCCTTCATCTTATGAAGACAGACAGGCGTCATATTCCTCGAAATTTGCAACCAGTTGTTGAGGTTCGGTTTGATGACTGTGGCCATACTGTAACTCGTCACCCGAATATGGCATGAAGACGTTGCAGAGAATGTCATAGTCACACAGTGCACATGTGCAAAAGGTGTAAAGTACATTTACACGTATCCTGCTTCGAAAAATATCATCAGAAATGAATATATTTCTGTCGGCCAACATCCCAATGGTGCGTGAACGCAACACCAAAAAGCATGGAAGTTCTATGTACTGGATAATTTTCAACTATGTCTATTATAACATATAATAATTCCACTAAGAATCTCCAATTTTTGAAGGGATTGAAGTACTATATAATATATTTGCACTATTAAAAGTTTGTCTTTGGTACCAGCGGTGCACAATCGAACCACGCATTTTTTGGATGATAAGTATGCAAAAAAAATTGAAGAACTGTAAACGTTTCATTTGCATGTACTAATAAAGTGTATTAAAAAAACCGTGACTTTTACTAGTTTTGTATCATTGGTATGATATGGGTTAATGAATACCCGTAATTTCACAGTGCTTAAGCATAAAATAAGGTTGGAGGCGTCATTCTGTGGAAATATAGACTGTAAATAAAAATAAATAAGTGATATTTGAATGTCATGCATATTCCCTAAAGACATGGAAAGTAATAATATTATGGGTTAGAATGGATAATTCTCTGGAATGTTGTAAAACTACCTTGTTCTTTGACTATCTTCGAAAATAGTCATGACTCAACGCAAGTTAAACAAAATTCTCGAAATTATCATTTTTAATAATAATAATAAATGGCCTTTATTCGTCACATGAATACAAAATAATTGGCTTAAAAGGAATAGTGACGAAAAGGTGGAGTGTCAGCTTATGTTGTTTTTCAACCCGACCTAAAAAACATTGACACAAACTATGAAGAGAAAAAAAAGTACCTACATTTAAATGGCATAGTTCACAACATTGACCACCCAAAAGAGAAAAGCTTAAAATATTACACTTCTCAGAAAAAGGAAACAATCAATTACCCGTGGATATGATAAAGTTAAATTCTTGCCATCCGATTGCTTTAAACTCATCTTTAACCTTTTTTAAAATTGCTTAGGCTATATTCTTTATACTCACTTGACAAGCAGTTATATAGTTTGGGTGCCCAGTACGAGAAACTACGTGCGAACCATGCTGTCGAATGCCGCGGGATAAGTAAGATGCGTTTATTCCTAGAGGATCTTTGATCGTACTGACAGAGGAGGTTTAGCTTTGAATAAAGATAATATGGTGCTTTAAGGAGAAGGGTCTTATGTACCAGAGATAGGCAATGCAGTTTCCTTCATTTTTCATTAACAAAAATCGCTTGTAAAAGCATTCTTTTGCTCACCTTTTTGTAACTACTCATCAAGAAACGTTGGAACTCCAAGTTTGAGCAGCGGCAAGTCCATGGGTTACCAAACAACGTCAGCTCAGTGAGATTAGTATCATTTTTCAAAGCGTTTAAGACTCCGATACTAAGATTTTGCAGTCTATTGTTATCCAATGCCAAAATCTAAAAGAAAAGAAGCATTATAGGCACAAAATTTATAAGAAAACAAATAAGAATCAAGTGCTGGCTGTTACCTTTTGCCAGAATCAATCACAAGAACAAGGTGGAAAAAATGTTAAGATCCTTAATGTAAACTTATCCTTATTCTGAAGTTGTCTCGCTGATGAATCTACTTGTTTCACTAGCCGCCAAATAAAACCACAGATATAGTGTGAGTATTTACTAACGTTTCGGCCACTTCCGAGGATTTTTTCAAAGTACGAGGTCTGTAAATTAAGTGATGACACTGATTTTTTTTTTCATCACTTAAATTACACACCTGGTACATCACAATGTTGAATGACTGTAGAATTTTTATTAATAATGCAGTGTTTGTTTAAGCAATTGATAATGAAATTATACGAGTGAATCATTAGAAATGACATTTTCACATATAATAATTACCTGCACTTTAGGTGGCACCCAATCCATTTTGCTGATCCTGTTGTCAGATAGCCACATCTTCCTCACTTTGTCATATCCGGCATTAACGTCAGGACCAACGTCCAAGAAATTGCCCGTCAAATTGACGTCCATAACATTTCCTTGACTGATCCACCATTTTAACCCTTCCATATCCGGATATGATGTTAGGTTTCGTTGTTGGCACTGTACTATGACAGATCTGTCGAACGGTCTTCTGAAGCAGTCGCATTCCGTTGGGCAGCCTGGGTAAGTGTAGCGACAAGAAATGTGACGGGGCTTCAGCTATAACAAAAAAATGGCGTCAAGTAGGTCGACTCTGTATTTCCCTCGCAATTCTGGACAAATGAACTTTGTACAGGGTGGCCGATTTGTAACTGACTGGTTTGTATCTTGAATATTTGTGAAGTGAAATAAATTACGTACATTTTTTCTATCTTAATTTCTTATTGAAACTTAGAAATTATGTATGACAAATAATATCAGACAAATGTCCGCCTCTAGAAGCCGCGCAAGCCTGAACCCTAATATTAAAAAATCTCCATAAAAAAGTCAGTTGCCGTTAAATCCGGTGACCATGGTGGCAGGTTGACATCACCAACTCGAGAAATTAAACGTCCCGGAATTATTGTTCGCAAAAGATTCACTGTTTCCCTAGCTGTGTGACAAGTTGCTCCGACCTGCTGGAACCACATGCATTGCAGGTTAAATTGTGGGCTTTGCGGAACCAGAAAGTTTTGCACCAAATCACGGTAGAGCTCGCCAGTGACAGTAAGAGAATTATCTGCAGCGACTTCAAAGAAGTAAGGTCCAACAAATATTATTTAGGCAATTCATCGTCTTTCTAAATTTTAACGCGTCTCAGGGCCGTAGTGCCGTAGTGACATTTTTCCGGATATGGGTCCCTATACTCAGATGTTCTCTACTGTTACACTCAATAACCCCTACAAGTTTGATCCCATAGTTCTGAAACACCCTGTATACTTTCAAGTCTTAAGAGCAAATATACGGGGTAATATATGTATGTATGAGTTATGTCGACTAGGGGCTAGAATGTCAAAAACGAAGTTTGAGACCTTTTTATTTTTTTGTTCTTGGTTTTTTTCTCCGCCTCCCCTGGACCGATTTACAAACATTATAAAGTTTGTTCTTTCTTAGCGGACAGACCGACAGACTAACGGAAATGGAAATGAGTGACAGTTTTTCGTCATGTAAATGTCATATAACATCCAAATCACATAATATCTCATTTCAGGATTTCGTTTTTAAAGAAGTATCATGCTACCTTACCTCTTTGATTGCTATATGCCTGAACTCGGGTGGTTCTTCACACGTTTGGTCTCCAACGTGTATCTCCAGCATGCTCCTCACGAGAGGGTTGATTTCGTCATTTAAGTAAGTGACTAAGTCAAAATTAGTACAATCGCACCATAACGGATTGCTGACCAAATTAATGACAGCCGTGGCATTAGTAGATTCGTTCATATCAGCTATCTGCTTCATCATGGCAAAATTTAAAAAACGGATCTGGTTAGAAGATAGATCCACGTCCACTCTTTTACCAAAAAACGACCGTGCAGATCCCACCTGAAATGCAAAATGGCACTGGATTAGATACAAGTAATCATTAAAAATGAAAAACTGTGAACAGAGAATAAGCCATATGTAGTACAATCATTGATCAACGTATTGTCCAAAAAGATGTTGTTTTAGTAAGGCTTCATTTTTCTTTAAAAGAAAAAAAAAGAAGATCCCATAACACGCGGCAACAGTGGCAACTCTGACAACTAAAGATGGTAGTCGACGACCTTCTGGTGAAATATGTTAATCAATGATATAAATTAGTATCATTTTTAATGATAAAGGTAACGATAAAGTTTTAAGAATTGATAATACTCACATCAATCATCTCAATGGCGTTGTGGTCCAAAGCAATTTCTTTCAAATGTGAGAGAACATACATCAAAGTTCCTGGGAACTCCTTGATCTTGTTGTAACTCAGCTTCAAAGTTTCCAAACTGAGACAGTTCTGCAATGGATTGAAGTCTGGTATGTCATATTCCATTGAATATAGGTTATTCGACAGATCTAATGTGACTAAGCTTCTCAAGCCACTGAACCCGTTTGGATGCACAATGGAAATCTTGTTGGATCTCAGATCCAACTTTTCTAAATTATCGAGCTTTTCAAACAAAGCTCCGCTGATTGAAGTCAGGCTATTTTCTTGCACATACAACTCTTCGAGCTTCCTTAGTGGAGAGAATATGTCGTCAGGAAGATACGATATCTTATTGCGACTCAAACTGAGCTTTGTGAGATTCTTTTGACTTTCAAAAAGCTTACTCGGCAGCGTAGTTAGGTTGTTGTTTTGTAAATTGATTGTTTGAATGTTGTTGGAATGAAGAAATATGTCCTCTGGGATTGCTTCAATGTTGGAGCTATCCAAATCCACTCTTTCAAGCTCAGGAAGATCGTAGAATAGTTTGTTCGGTAAGATCAACTGTGTATTCAAGCCAATGTCAATCCATTTCAGCTTTTTGTTGGATGAAAACAGATCCCGTGGAATCCTTGTCAATTTATTCAGCCTCAAACTGATATTTGTTAGGTTTACCATAGGCCTGAATGTATCTGGATGCACTGTATTTATTTGGTTTCTACGCAACTCTAGACTTCCTAAATTGGATAGACCAGTAAAAGTCAAACCGGTCAAAACTTTCAGCTTGTTACTCCAAAGATGTAATCGTTTCAAATTTGAGATATTTGCGAAAGCGTTGTCTGGTATTGTAGTGATACGATTTCTTGACAGATGCAAGTCCAAGAGTTCTGGTGTATGTTTGTAAAAATTAGTCAATTCGGTGAAGTTATTTTCATCCAAAAAGATGCCTAACAGGTTAGGCATGTGCTCCAAAAAATCGTTTTCGAACGCAGTGGTTGTCATGTAGTTTATGTCGAGGTATTTTGTTGGATGTAGACCGGCGAACAAGTTCTTTGTAATAGTATTGTTTTGTTTTCCATCGTCGTATTGTAGTTGTATATGTTCAACCTGGAATCAATGCGTCAAAAAGATAATTATTAGTTGAAACACAGAAACACATAAAACCTTTTCAAAGTTGGCACAAATAAAAATATTGATTAACTTACTGACGTCGTATCGAAAAACAAACCCAGGAAGTAATATACATATACAGGGTGGCTCATCTATGTGTGGACGTAATATTACTCATAAACAAATACATTTTGGGAAAATTTATTTATGGCATGTTATACACGACATTTGAGGACACATTTCTCAGATATTGGCAATTATACAGGGTGTCCCAATTTTGACCTACATATCAAAGTTGTGATTTTTTGAGTGGAATGCCTCAAATTTTATTGCATATTTGGATAAACCAATTTAAACGAAGATGATTGATATAACATACTATGGGGTTTTGGTAATTAGCTACTGAGATGTAAGGTCCAGAAAAACCGTCCACTTCGGCAACCCCTCAATCCGCCATTTTGAAATTTAGAGTACTGAATTTTTTATCAAAAAAACTTACACACCTCAGCTTTTATCTTATTTGTTAATTTTTTGGATTTTCATGTTTGCTCATACAGGGTGGTCAAAAACGCGAATTGTACTTTTTCTCAAAAATTTCAAATGCATCACCCTGTATATTTGTGCAAGTTTGAATTCAATTTTTTATAAGCTTTTTTTTTGGTATAAGGTTTGATTCAGATAAAATCACTATATTTTGAGTTATTAAGCTTTTAATAGAACACACCAAAATTAAGGAAAAAGTCACATCATCCATGGAAACAAAATACAAACAGTGGGCCAGTTCCATATTGCTACTAAGAGTACAGATTTGACGTAAAAAAAACTAATAATAATCAGAACAGTATAAATCAGCTTCAAGCGTAATAGAGACAAACAACTATAACAACATAAACAAACAAGTATAACTACGCAAGACCTAATCTACAAAAACTACTCGAAAATATCTCCACCATGTTGAATGCACAGCCGTAGCCTTTGGATAAATGACCGTTGCACATCCCTCAGCATGTGTTCCCTTATGTTCAGAAAAGCATCCTTAATCCTTTCCTTCATATTTTCCGGGGTAGATGGTATATATCTATAAACCTCTTGCTTAACGTAGCCCCATAGGAAGAAGTCCATCGGTGTCATATCTGGTAATCTAAGAGGCCAAGATATAGGCCCATCACGACCGATCCAACGATTGTTACTCCAGGTGTCCAAATAGTTACGCAGACGATTATGATAATGCGCAGGTGCGCCGTCATGTTGGAAGTACATATGCATCCGATTTTGCAAGTTGACATCCTCCAAAAGTGGGGGGTTTTTCTAGACAAAACACCTGATATCTCAGTAGCTAATTACCAAAACCCCATAGTATGTTACATCATTTTTCTTCTTTTGAATTGGTTTATCCAAATATGCAACTAAATTTGAGGCATTCCATTTGAAAAATCACAACTTTGATATGTAGGTCGAAATTGAGACCAATATTTTAGAAATGTGCCCTCAAATGTCATGTGTAACATCCCATAAATAGATTTTTCTCAAAATGTATTTGTTTATGAGTAATATTCCGTCCACACATGGATGGGCCACACTGTATATGATCTCAAATAAAAAAAATAAGTCATGTAGGTTGACTGTTCACTTCTTACGCAACGCTGTCATTAGTTGATAAACGATTATGTTTGAAACAAGTTAGCCCCTCTGAGAAAAAGTTAGCTACAAACGTGTATAACAAAAAAAAAAGAGGTTTTTAAAAATTAGGGTCAGAACAAAATTATCTCGGATTGTTCACGTTCAACTGTGCTATTGTTTAATTTTGTAAGTCAGTAAGTAACTTAGTGTGGAACAAATATTTTAACTAAATTATGAACAAGTTAAGCTTAAACAATTGTTAAGTTGAAATTTTGTATTCACATTTACAATACACATTGAATTAAATACCGTCGTTTTGAATCTAATATTGCGGATGCTACAAAATTACAATGTGTCTTTCCATAATAACCCTTATGATATGGGTATAAAATGAAAAGGCTTGATAGAGAATCATAAGCAAAGTGACAGCATTTGAAATCCAATATGGTGATTTCGAGTTTTTTTAAAGGCTTCGGTTTTTGGGATATTTTAAAAAGTTCACTGAAAACAGTTTTAATATCGCAAAGTTGAATAAAGGCATGTTCGGACCGTTTTTCAAAAATCTTAGGCGATTTTTTTCTGCCCATAACTTTTTCGAAATCAAAGGTTAGATGGGATGGACTTAAGAATCTTTTATCTGGATTTTCACGACTTACTTACTTTCTCACAATTGGCGCGAGAAATAAAAAAGATCCACAAAAACTATTTACATTAAAAGATACCGCAATTTTAGTAACTTTAAGAAACGTCGCTTGGAAAGTTTTAACATTTTTTATGACCGCTAAAAACCTAGGACTTTTAAATTGTAACCATATCTCTTAAAATTACACGTACCTTACTAGTGTTGAACTGCTTCAGCGTATCTAAAAGCGATCCTTCTGGAATAGGACAAAACCTAACTCTAAACGTCTCAACATCACCGAGGTCCATCCGTGGCAGCAAATCCAAGTAGTACTCATCAAGACTTTCACAATCCACTTGAAGGTACTTTTCATGTTTGGCGTGGATAAGGAATTTACTACTTGAAGATACGTTGTTTTTCCCTTCAGCGGAACACTGAAACTCGTATTCATCTGAACGGAAGCAGCAACAGTTGCTTGGATCGTTCTTCAAGTTGCAGGTGTGCAGTCGGGGGTCACATTGCTCCACTTGGAAATTGAAATCTGCATATGCTAGGCTTAATATCAGCAGTGTAGTGATGTAGGGGGTTAGTTTTATCTCCATTTTCCTGAAAAGAACAACATGAGTTATCATATGCACTAGGAATGCACCGAGTACTACATTTTTCAAAAGTCGTAGAACCGGGTAGTACTCGGTGGGGTAATTTGCTCTAGGTTATTTTTCACCTACTATGAGTGATATTAGCATTCCATTTGCGTTTTTGAAAGGTAGCTTTATTCTAAATTATGGCGTCAAGTAGCTTGACTCTGCATCTCCCATGCAACGTTGTCATCAGTTCATAATTGGCTATCAACATGTATAACAGAAAGATTAAATCGATTAAGTCAGCCAAACAGGCCCATGAATTAGTCCATACTCTATAGTCCCCACTCATATGATAACGCTAACGCTAGTTTCTTCCCTGCGCTAAGTAACGACCATCCGGCAACGGTGTTGAAGTATAGTGACTCGAGAGACCCGGCGATGCAGTCAGAGTCCATCAGACGCAGACAGTGCTCAGCTTATAAAAGTTGGGCTAGTCGCAGCTACAGAGGTATTAGTAAAATCATTCCCGAATAACAGCAAGATTTCACCAAAGGCAAGGAACACAAACGCAACATTTGCGAACAGTTAAAGTCATGACAGATGCACCTGGACAACATCCCGTAGCACCGGTTACTGCCGACCTCTCAAAAGCGTTTGAACCTATTACTCATAGTGCTCCTATTTACAACAAACGGAGATCCCTATCAACGTTAACAAGATTATAGAAAACGACTTGTTCATTCGACACATATGCGCCAAAAACAATCATGCCAAAACAAAAATATACCACCAGCGCTACGGAGACCACCGTGATCTAGGAGCCCCTTCCCACTTCAGTTGGCCCAACTATTGAAACCTTAGTTTTTTTCTTATCAAACACAAATGTAGCAGCTTATTATAGGTTTAAAATACTAACAATGAATATTTTGATAATATATAGTAGAATAACGCATAGGTGGCTGTGAAAAATAAAAGCCATGACAACTGTTTTTATTAATCACAGCTGTCAGAATACGTTTAAAATAGTTTTGGGTAGTTAAGGTTTTCAAAATGGGTAGAGGAAAAATTATTAGTGAGAAAACTCGGTTACTGATAATTAAATTTTTTAATTCTGGGAAATCAAACTCATAAATTGCAACTTTGTTAGACTTATCTCGGTACAGTGTGAGAAATATTGTTAGAAGATATAACGTAACTGGTTAGGCCAAAGAAAAGCCACTATTAACTCCACTGCAAAAGAAAAATCGGCTTAGATGGGCTAAAGAACATAGACAATGGACACCTCAACATTGGGTGCAATACAATGGAGTGATGAGGTCCGATTCGAAGTTTGTGTTGGTGACAGTCGCAGTAGAGTTACTCGCAAAAAAAATGAAGCATTCCATGTTGACTGTCTGAAGAGAAAAGTGAAATTTCCAGCATCCATTATGGTCTGGGGCAGTATGTCATCAAAAGGAGTAGGAAAACTTCATTTTATTGATGGAAATGTGGATACAAACAAATATTTGGCAATTTACATGAAGAATTAGGAGTAAGAAAATTAGTTCCTCGTTGGATACTCCACCTGTTGACTGAAGAGCAGAAAGCAGCCAGGGTTAATTGGTGTCAAAAAACGCTTGACCGTTTCAATTCCGGAAACTCAAAAAATGTGTACAGCATTGTTAGTGGTGATGAATTCGTGGATTTACTGTTATGAACCAGAAAATAAACGACAGTCGGCTGTTTGGGTGTTCCAAGGTGAAGAAAGCCAACAAAAGTCATCCGTTCTCGAAGTGTTTCGAAAAAGATGGTCGCGACATTTGTATCAAAACCGGGTCAAATTGCAACAATTCCTCTTAATGAGCAAAGAACTGTTACTGTGGATTGGTATGCCACCATTTGTTTGCCAAAAGTTATCACCGAGCTTTGAAAAATCAACCCCGAAAGAAGAATCATCCTCCACCAAGACAATGCAAGCTCGCACACAGCCGAAAAGACAAGGCAGCATTTAACGGAAGAAAACGTGGAATTATTGGACTATCCTCCATATAGTTCCGATCTAAGGCCCGTATCGTCAGTCGTCCCTACAATTGTAGGGCGTGTTTATGGCCTCCTTGATTGTCATACTCCTTTCTCTCCTCCAAAAATTTCTAGACTACACTCGTCCCGTGTCAGCGTCAGCGCTCTCCTATTGTGAAGATATGTTTTCTTTTCAAATTGTAGGAAATTTCAGGCTGATAAAACATGATATAACTCAAAAGCAAGCACAATTTGATGCAAATAGATGTTTGTGACATAACCTCAAAATAGAGTTCTGACACGGAGAAGTAGAAAACTATGACAATCAAGGAGGCCATAAAGGCGCCCTACAATTTTAGGGACGACTGACGATACGGGCCTAAGTCCTAACGATTTCTTTACTTTCCCGAAAATTAAAAACAGACTGCGTGGTCAAAGGTTCCAGTCACCAGAAGAAGCAGTTGACTCATTCAAAAATGCCGTTTTGGATCTGCCAGCAAACGAGTGGGATAAGTGCTTCGAAAATTGGTTCGAGCGCATGCAGAATACTTCGGAAAACAATAAAGTCGTTTAAAACTACCTACCGTGTTGTTTTATTTCCATATGCAAAACGTAAAAGACATCCCTCGTACATATTTTGAGTCAACATTTTAATCCATTTCGAAGTTTGTGTGACATGGAAAAAATAACAGCGATAATGAATTTAAAATAAAGATTTTCTAGTATATATTTGCTTAGGCTAGGAAACAGAAAAACCAGCTTTTCAACCATATTCATACAGTGGTTTTTTGTGATATAGTTTGTTAGTACAAAAAAGTAAGTAAGCCTTAGTTGTGTTTTGTAACTACACTTGGAGTTTGATCATCGTACACGCGTTGTGAACAGCTGCTTATGCTTAGAGTGATAAGATGAGAACATTTTTAACAGCTTAACGAGTTTGATAATGGGCTTGTGTAAGAATGGTTGGTCCTTTAGAGAAATAGTCACCACGGAAGTCTAAATACGGTGGTGTTTTGTTGATCAGGAACGCCGTACATGAGAAGTTAAATGTGCAGGGCGTGTCAGAAGCACCACCCCAAAGCAAGATCGCTTTTGGCTATAGGGGACCGCTTTTCAACTACAAGGTCAACTGCGGATCAACGGTTTGGGCCAATTAAAATGCGCACTGTTTATCCTCGAATCAAAAGTGTTGGACTTATTTCATACCGTCCCCAGTATGTCTAATCTCCTACCAACCTAGGCCCCGAAGTAATAGACATGCTTGATTCAGAGAACGGCTGAACTTGGACCTCGAATGGATACCACCGTCTTTAGTGATAAGTCCAGACACTATTTGGGCATGCTCGATGCAAGGGTGAGAAGGCGACGAGGAAAAATAGGAGATTCTCAATTTTCTATGGAATATATAATAAAAATGTGCACCACACTGTTCGAACTATGAGGGATGTTGCTTATAGAAGCCTTTGGTGTTGATTTGAGGAAACATGACCGTAGTGCGCTAAGTCCAGCAGACGAGGTATCAAGTCGATTTGTTGCTTTGGCCCATAGATCTCCCGATCTTTCACCTATTGGGACATTATTACTTCGTTTGCCACAGCTTCCGCAGAGATGTATACAAAAAATTGTTGAAATAAATGGATTATTATTGGGTGTTCTTTGTTCTATGTCAGTATAATTTCTTTTAGATTTCATAATAAGTTCAATGCCATTTATCTAGGTAAGGGGCATTTCAGGACCCATGTTTGCATGAACTGTTCGCGTCATTTTTTGATACAGTCATGTCCCAGATATATTGTCACGTTTTTCTAAAACCCTGTATAGTATATTACTTACATATTACTGCTAACGTCCTTAGAAGTTTGTCCACCTTATGCAATCAGTCGGCTATACGTATTATTGATTTACAAAACACTAAACTTATAACACAGATAAATCACACTTCCACTGGCCGTTAACCTTACTCTATCAGGTACATCATTAGACTAACGCATTTTGTGGAAATTTTGTTTATAAATACCTCAGGAACCACTCTTAATGACCTTAGGGTACCTGAATTAGGGGAGGTGCTTCGTGTTTGTGGCAAGAAACTGAGTTATTCAGAGATCAGGCTGTCTACAGGCGGCAGTTCTAAGAAAACGGCATTTTGGAAAGAAGAACAGGAAAAATGAAATAAAATTGAGACTACCCTGGCAGTATTTTAATCGATGCAAATTCGACAGAAACTTCGGACATTCGGATAATGTGTATGTCTAGACATTGATCCAATATTCTTCTGGTATGAAAAAATACTAGTATTTCTTTGTTGTTAAGGCGGCTCCGACGCAGTGAGTTTCAAGCCATTTACAAGGGTTCAGCTGCTTAGAAACTGACACTCCATTTTTCAATGAAATTTATACAGTATGTTGAGAAGATAATTGCCCAGGGTGCTATAGGAGCAATTTTTGAAATTTTGTTTTTGCACAAGTTTTATGATGGGTTGAAGTGGGCACTTTTTCTGTTCAACTTCGAGATTTTTTTAAAAACAACCTAGTGAAAAAATGAAAAAGTGGCTCTATAGCACCCTGTGGGGTTTTGTTTTCGACACACTGTGAAGATTTCATCGAAAAATATCAAAAAATAAAGCTCGACTTTCAAAGCGCGCAAACCTCTACAAATCGTATTTTGGACGAATTTTGTCTACTGTTTCGTGCTGCCAACCCAAGCGTTGCGGCGGAATGTACGGATTAAGAAAGGACGTATTCAGATAATTTGGTGTGGCCCTATTTCATATAATATCGCGAAGATAAGTCGTTCTGCAAATAGGTACTTATAATCGCGATCATCGATACTCCTCTATTTTAAAGCCGTTTTACTTCCCATGCCATTGGCGAGGAAGTATTGTAATCGCGAGAAATTTCTAAAATGAGATGTTATGTTTTTTTAAGTCATATGACATCTACATCACGAAAAACTGTATCACTCAGCATCAACCGGGAAATTACCGCTCGGATTTTTATGAAATTTTCACACGGGGTTACTAGTATGCCAAAGCTTTGTAGTTTTAGTCCAGTGGCAACGGTGCTATAGGCAAAAAAGAAAAAGTAAGAATTGCTGAAACTCCGGCTTTGACATAAAAAAATGGTACTGCTTAAAAAGGGGGGGTTGAAATCAGCGAAACACGTTCTATTATTAAGAAACTTCTGATCCCAGTGATTACAGGAAATTTAAGTAACGAAAATCCGTCGAATAATGTGGTCACGATTTGAAAAAATCGGTACCTGCTCTATAGGTTTGACACCAGGAGCCAACAGATCTGCAACTACCGTCAGTAGGGAAGAATAAATTCGGATATCACTCCAGTGAAGTATATGGGAATTTAGCGTGGAACTTTAAAATTATCGATATGTCAAGGAAATATGTTTTTGAGAATAATAATTTGGTAGATTTTATACCTGCATTTTCATTTGAATTTCATGACCCGTGAAATGTACCCATTTCGCCGTTACCTTCAATTTGCGTTCTGCAGTTTGTGATGTTTTTCTGGATATAAGCAGGACATAATTTCCTAGGGTGCTATCAGAGCTTTTTATAATTTTTGTCTTTGCGCAAGAATTATAGTGGGTTGAAATGCTTACTATTTGTGCTCAACTTCTTGATATTTTAAAAAGATCCTAGTGGATAAAATCGAAAAAGTGGATCGCTGGCACCCTATGGACTTTGTTTTTAGCATGTTGCAAGAGTTTCATTTCGAAATAATAAGCTGTGAAGTGTAAATCGGGTTTTGGGCGAAATTCATCTACTGTTTCGTCCTCCAGTCCAAGCGACCCGACGATGGGTTCCGACTAAGAAAAAATGTATTCAAATAATTTAATATCTTTCCTAAAATAAATTCAAGAACTCAAATTCAAATTCGTTTATTCAGGGTCATAAAAATATCTTATGCCCTCAAAATAAGACGAAACAGTTAGGTAGTTTTTGCAAACCAATAAACAGGTATGCTTATACCTGGATTAAGTACATGTCTTGTCTACTGTAATAGGTAGATGGAGGTGATGCTGCCAGAAATGGATGTGTGCCATATAAACAAACTACAAGATTGAACTGCCCTGTCCAATGATTTTTGTATTGCCTTTTTTTATTGCCTTACTAGAAAACTCTGTTGGGTATATGATGGAGGTTACTAGAACTTTACAGCTTGTTGTCTGCATTCTTCTACAAACTTCACCAAATCGAGACGCTGTCAACCTTATCCTCCTATGAAGACGCCACAAATTACAGTCCTGTGATTTGGTGACTTATTCGATCTGCAAAATCTCGTCGTCACTTTTTCTAAGTTTCCCTAAAAATGCTTGCTTAGCAACCTCCAAATCAATGTCGTTCATGACAGGTTTTTAACAGAATTCGCCATAAAACTATTCATTTTATTTGGAATTGCTATCCGAATTGTTAGTTATTTTTATATCAGCTTTTTTGGTCTGAGTTTCTTTTCAAGATTCTTGCGTTTGAGTCTGTGTTCCATCTTAGTGATAAGCGAGGTTGGACTAAGCTTAGAACGCAATTTTATTTGGACCACATAGACAGGTCGCTCGGTATTGTGGCTCACCACAGCTGCAGCATATCTTCCATGGTATGACCTCTTCTTGCAATAATTTATTCGCTTACCCCAATGTATTTTGCGATTATAGAGTTGAACTGCTCCACACTATTGTCCTCATCATGAATTAAACTCACTGCATTCGTAATTAAAATTTTCGCATATGACCTTTTATTGTCCATTATCAACCTTGATAAAAAAAGGCACTCAAGAACAATCACACCAACAAGAGTACAGGACAACAATTCAACAACACAATATCGACGAACAGTAACAAGGGTAGAACATTAATAAATGATCTCTTGCTGAGTACCAAAATAGGAAACGATTTACAGGCTAGATCGCAAATCGAAATCCGACTCTGTTATTATAAAAAGAAATGAAACTTGCATCTGATTCGGATGGTGCATTTCCAA